TAAATGACACACACACAAAAAACCCCAAACTTTATGATTGTAATCGTGTTTTAGAAAACCAGCTCTATAAAGTATTTCAAACCAAAGCCACAGGAATCTAACAGAGGTTACTAAAGTTTTGAAGATTATTAAGGCATTTGAAGATGACAAAAATTAATCATCTTCCTTTCCCAAATCCAAGTGGAAGTCTCACTTTCCAAAATCATATTCCATGATGAGGCATGAGTGTCCATGCAGAATACGATCATGTCCAATGCACAAATTAGCACTCATTTATTCTATATTTAAATACAATCAAATCAAACACGACAGCTAGAAAAAAAAGGTTACCTAAACTTAAGAGATACCCTTTCATATAAAAGCATCCCCTCCCCCACAAAACATGTCAAGCTATTTATAAGGAACTCCCTCCCTCTCCCCTCCATATGATTCAAAATATGAAACTGAGAAAACACTCATCATCTCAAAGACTTCATTTAAAGCAACTTGAGCTCGAAATCTAGAGTTCCTGACATTGACACTGAAATGCAGAGTTCTCACACGTTAAATTAAGTGACAAAATGAATATACGCACTTAGGCATGATCTAGTTATATTTTTGGATTCAAAACGCTACCTTTTTTTGTTTTTCTTTTAAAATAATTTAAACCTTATTTTATAAAAGTGAAACCCCTGAACATGACTACAACATGAATGCAGACTGCAATATCTCACCCTCACTCTCCGCTTTCCTCTGCTTCTTAACCAGGCAGCTCATCACCTACCTCACAGACCCAAAAACACACTTACAACACTTTCATTATTGTTTTGAATATTAGCTTTCAAGCGGAAGCTGCACACATTTATACATACTATGCCTCAGAGTTGGGGTACATGACCTGTTTAGTTAACTTTGGGGAGATGCCAGTTTAAGCACAAAACGGACATAGACATTTAAGAACATTTTTTGATTAATGTACAAGTAGAACCTTTCTTATTTTCAGAGTTTGCCATACGAGTCTTCAACTAATTTTTCACTCCAAACGAAACCTTATAATCTTTATATACTAAACAAAAGGTTTTTGTGATCTTGAGAGCAACCTGATCAATCTAGACATAAGTTTACTAAAGCATAAAATGAGACTAGATAATAATGACCTAAAAAGAAATCTTAAAATACTTTTATCTACATAGGAAAGTACTGACTTTGGTTCTCTAATGTTTAGATAAGGAAACTATTCACAAAAGTGCTCAAATTAATACGGTATTATTAATTATAATTTCCTTTTATAGTCCACATAAAAGGAAAGATGAGAAAGAGAAAAAGCAATTTCTAAACCAACAGCAAATCAGTTCATTAAATTCCCTCTCTCACCAAAGAAGAAAGTGTGCAGAAAGACCAGGAATCAGCAATACTCCCACTTTTCAACTTTTGCACAATTAGGTATTCTGCTCCCAATTGTAACTCTATGGACAACTGCTCCACCCCATCTTGTTTACCACAATCATGTTTAGAGCCTTATTAAAACGGAAATACACATTTTTAAACATTTCAAATGTAAGTTTTAAAAAGAAAACAAAGACTAACACAGGTAACAGTTTAAAAAATATTCTCAGATACATCATCTCATTTATTCCTCTGAAGAAGGCATCAGGATTCTCATTTAATAAGGAAAGAACCTAGCTTAGAGAGGGTAGATGACATGCCCAAAGTCAGCCACAAAGGGATAAATCTGGAACCAGAAGCCCAAGCTCCTAGTTTAACAAATACATTTTCATTCACTTCTTTAATTGAAGCACCTGGTTAACAGGTCACCTTACTATTGATTCCTAATGTAAAACCACCTATGATAAATGAAAAGAAACAGAGTTGCAATATTCACTGAGCATATACCTCAAAACCAAATGAAACTATTCCATTTTAACAAGCATCAAAAAAATGCTAATGAATTTTCAGTCACTACAAAGTTGAGTGTATTTTTCAATGTTTAAAAATTTTAAAATACACCCATAGTTAGCCAAAAAAATTTTTTAACTGAACTTATTTGATATAACTACTTTTCTTAAAAGATTTTAAGACCGAATGTACACTTGACAAAATAATATAATTATTAACTTCTATTACATCTTTATTTAAATGCTTATTATCTGAAGAGTAAAAAAAGCCTTGCAGTTTTAGAAGTTTCCTGTTGATTAATGAATCCTGAAATGAGCGAACTTTTTATTCATAACGCCCTCTACTGGTAGCTCAAGAGGTTCTAACACACTGATTACAGGAGGTTGGACTAGTTTATTTAAGCCTAGTCCCCCAGGGCCTGCATACAAATCCCCTGGAAAGCTTGCTAGAAATACAACTTCCTTCTTCCACAAAGTATCTACAGATCTACAGATATTGTGATTTTAATAAGTCTGGGGTAAGATCTAGAACTCTGAGTTTTCACAGGTTCCCCAACAAATAAGTGGAGAATCATTGGTTTGGTTAGTTATACCAATAGCTGACTCTCAAAGCACAGCAACTTTGTGAAAAGCTCTGAGAAGGGATTATTATGCCTGTTTTATAGACGAAGTCTAAGACTCAAGACAATTTACCCCAGGTCACAGGCTAAAAAGCAGCAGAGCCACTGACATTTTCTTATTCTTGGAGGTATGCGTCCTTAGAGGAAAGAATAACAAAATTGCACCAGCCTTAAAATTCACATTTTTATTTCTTTAGATAAAGCTGATGTAAGCAGTACATGCTATCCTTTCTCAACTCTGGCTTCACATGAGAATCACCTGGGGAGCTTGTAAAAATGCTTATGCCCAGGTCCCACTCTCAGAGATTCAGATTTAATAGGTTTAGGATCGGGCCGAGCCACTGTTCTTTTTTCTGAAGCTCCCAGATGATGAGAATCTGCCACCAGAGCTAAGCACTCAGGCCGGTGGTGCTCGGCCTTCGTGCACAGAGTCACCTGGAGGACACAGACCGCTGGGCCCCGCCACCAGCGTTTCTGATTCAGTAGGTCTGGGAGGGTTTGAGAATTTGCATTTTCAACAAGTTCCAGGTAGTGATGATGATGCTGGTTCTGTGATCACACTTTGAGAACCACCAGTTAGGCATATTGGTTAGCAGTTCTCAAACTTGCCTAGACACATTAGAATCGCCTGGAGAAATTTTAAAACTCCTGATAGCCAGGCACACCCTTAGACCAATTACATCAGAACATCTGGGGTGGGCTAACACAGGCATCCGTATGTTTAAAGCTCCTAAAATTAAAAAAGTTTCTCTACAGCAAAGGTTTATAAAACTCATTAATATGGGATACATGGTGATTTTCCAAGAGGGTAGTACAGTATACAGTATTTCCAAAGCCTTTTGGACCAGAAACATGCCTGTGAAGGCACACAATTAACAGCTCTGAATATGTGAAATACTAGCCCATAGGATAAAGTGGAAACTGCACCGAGTGGCCTAGAAGACATTCCCTGCCACTGTGGATCCAGCCTCATCTTTGCTCAAACCGTCCTCCCTCCACTACGTGTCCCTATTAAAATACTGATAACTCTCTATTGCAATTATGTTTCAACGTGACTGTTTGCACTCCTTCTACAAGCTCTTTGGCGGCAGAGGCTGCATCTTATTTATCTTTGATTCCCCAGAGCCTAGTATGATGCCAAGTGCAGCTGGGGCTCAATGAACATTTGTTGAGTAACTGAACACAGATTGATACCTCTACTTTCTGTAGAAAAGCTGGTATCAAGCTTGGCTTTTCTGCAACCTAAAACGTACAACAGCTCTTACATAGCTAAAATCAGAATTGAATAGTTTTCCCTCATAGAGCTACTCTTATTTAATACTGTTTTAAATAAAAAAGGGACTATTCACACTTAGAGATGATATTTAATTTGCCTTGGGATCTGCCAAATGTTCAGTTATTATTACCAGTGGCAAAAAGCATTGGTAATGTTTTATTCTAAGAATCATTTAGGGGCCAGCCTCATGGCCTAGGGGTTAAGTTCAGCATGCTCCACTTCAGTGGCCAGGGTTTGTAGGTTCGGATCCCAGGTGTGGACCTAGTCAGCCATGCTGTGGTGGTGACCCACATATAAAACAGAGGAGGACTGGCAACAGATGTTAGCTCATCATTAATCTTCCTCAGGGAAAAAAAGATCATTTAGCCAATTATGATCTAAAAAAAAGTACAAATGCTTTGTGCGTTTACAGTGAGATGAAGTTTCCAAAAACCTTTAAAGAGAAAAGGGAAAACAAAAACTACTGGTTTTTTTTGAAAATCCAAGTTTTTCAAACTTGGACATACTAAAATCAAATCAGTTTTGATGTTGTTTTTCAATTTATAAAGAATAGTATTCTTCTGTTAGGAAGCTGCATATCTAAGTCAGGTCAAGCAATTTTGGTATACATCAAAAAAACGTGCAAGATTAAGTTTAGTATTCTTCTTTAGTGCCACAAAAGGAAACATTTGACATCGTGCTATAAAGGTGCTATGGTCCATTCTATAGCTTTCTGGCACTATGTTTTCTATATGCTTCACAAATATTTAAAATAATCCTATTTGTATAAGTCTCAAAGCATGATAAGACTATGTTGCTTCTCAAACTTCTTCAGTTTGTAGCACTGCGAGACTGTGTTGGAAGAAATCTATCGTGTTAACAAACACTAACACATAATTGTTTTTAAAGCGCAGTAATAAGTGACATACATTCACTCAACAAACAATTACAGAGTGTCCACTACATGCTAGGCACTGTTTCAGGAGCCACAGTTACACAATAAAGAAAATAAAGTTCCTTGTGAAGCTTACAATCTGGTATATATCTTTCTTACAAAGGAAAAAAGTGGAAACATTCTTGTGGTACAAACTAGAAATAGAGATTCTTTGCAAAGGAGGGAGAAGAGTTAAATCTAAAAGCCGTTAGTGTCTAAAACTTCCTGGAAGACTTCCAGCAACTCTGAAAAAGCCGATAAGCCTATGAGAAAGAGAAAAGTAATAAGCTGAAACTTTAAAATGAATTAGTGTTTACCTCTGAATTCCTTCAAGAATATCCTTCACAGCTGCCATTAACTTTTGAAGATATACAAATGCTTCTTCAAATGATGCTATTTTTGAAGAAGTCAGAGCTGAATTTGAGTCTAATCTTTGAAATACATCCATGCTAAAATAGAGAAAAAGAAAAGATACTCATAGGTACACATGTATATTTACTGTAATTCAAGTATTTCTATTTCTAATGTATAACTCTTATAATGCTGATCTATTTAAATTAGAAATAAAAGATAGTGAATGTCCAGGCTACATTTCATGCAACAGATCTAAGTCAACAACTATACAGATCTAATCTAAAGTAATACTGTAAAAGCTGTGCAAATAATCTTTCATTCTAAGAGACCATAAGAGATGGAAGGGAAGTAATATTATCAATCTACACTCAGGTCAGTACATAAGTACTGACAGTACTCCAGTTTATACAAGGATAGAGGAAAAAAATTAGACATCAGATTGTTTGCTGAAAGTGGAAGTTATAAATGTTCATACACTTTACCCTGGTAATTCCAATTTCAGAAATCTACTACATATTAATAATAATTATCCACAATTGAGCAACAATTAATAACCACCTAAATGTTCAACAATATAAAGTGTTAAGTAAACAGTGAATTAGCCACTTTATGAAATACCAAACAACTATTAAAATAATGTATATGCCATCTATGAAACAGAAAAGTATAGGTATACAAAATTTACTTATATAACATAATAACCACCATATAAAAAATCAAAAAAAGAATCCCCCCAAAATTCATATTCACCCAGGATCTCAGAATGGGACTTTATTTTAATAGGATCTTTTCAGATATCATTAGTTAAGTTAAAATCGGGTCATACTGGATTAGGGTGGGCACTACCCTACATGAAGATGAAGGCAGACACTGGAGTGAGACATCTACGAAGATTACTGGCAACTACTAGAAGCTGGAAATGGTCACAGGACAGATTCTCCCTCAGAACCTCCTGAAAGAACCAACCCTACAGACACCTGGATTTCAGACTTTCTAGACTCCACAACTGGGAGTGAATAAGTTTCTTTTAAACCACCTAGTTTGCGGTAATTTCTTATGGCAGCCCTAGGAAACTAACATACATGCCTAAAACAAAGCTGGGTATACAGAATAACAGTAACAATGTTAACCATCGTTACCTTTAGGTAGTAGCATTCAAGAGAATTTTCTCTCCTACTTTACAGCACTTTCAAGGTAACTTTTTTTAATACAATTGTGGCAAACGACACATAAAATTCACCATTTTAAAGTAGAATTCAGTGGCATTTAGTACATTCACCATGTTGTACAACCATCACCACTATCTAGTTACAGAATATTTTCATCACTCCAAAAGGAAATCCTGTATCCATAAACAGTCACCCACCATTCCTCCCACCCCCTCAGTTCCTGGTAACACTCATCCATTTCCTGTCTCTGCAGACTTGCCTACTATAGGTACTTCATATAAATGGAATCATACACTCTGTGACCTTCTGTGTCTGGCTTCTTTCATTTAGTACGTTTTCAACATTCATCCACGTTGTAGCATGTATGGGTACTTCCTTTTCTTTTTATGGCTGAATAATATTCCACTTTATGGATAGGATATACCACATTTCATTTATCCATTCATCTGTTGATGGGCATTGGATGTTTCCTCTTTGGCTATGTAAATAGTGTTGCTATGAATATTCATCTATGAATTTTCGTTTGAACACTTGTGTTCAACTCTTTTGGGTATATCCTAAGAGTAGAATTGCTGGGTCATATGATGATTATATGTTTAACTTACTGAGGAACCAGGGAACTGTTTTCCAAAGTGGCTGCACAATTTTACATTTCTACAAGCAATGTGTCAAAGTTCCAATCTCTCCACATTCTCACCAACATTTGTTATTTTCCCTTTCTTTAATGGCCATCTTAGTGAATATGAAGTGGTATCTCATTGTGGTTTTGATTTTCATTTCCTTGATAACTAATGACATTGAGCACTTCTTTACGTGCTTGTTGGCCAGCTGTACATCTTTGCTGGAGAAATGTCTACTCAAGTCTCTTGCCCGCTTTTTAATCAGGTTGTCTTTGTGTTGTTGAGTTCTAAAAGTTCACTGTAGATTCTGGATACTAGACCCTGATTAGATATATGATTTACAAATATTTTCTCCCATTCTGTAGGCTGTCTTTTAACTTTGATGCAGAAAAGGTTTTAATTTTGATGGAGTCCAATTTATCTATTCTATCTCTTGCTGAGCTGTGCAGATCAGTCTGCGGTGCCAGGCAGCCCTGCCCCTATTTTATCTTTTGTTGCTTGTTTTTGGTGTCATTGTCTATGAAATCATTGCCTAACCCATGGTGAAAAAGATTTATTCCTAAGTTTTCTTTTTTTTTCTTTTCTTTTTTTTTTTTTGAGGAAGACTATCCCTGAGCTAACATCTGCTGCCAATCCTCCACTTTTTGCTGAGGAAGACTGGCCCTGAGCTAACATCCTGCCCATCTTCCTCTACTTTATATGTGGGACGCCTACCACAGCATGGCTTGACAAGTGGTGCCATGTCCGCACCTGGGATCCGAACTGGCAAATCCCAGGCCACCGAAGCTGAATGTGCAAACTTAACCACTGCACCACTGGGCCGGCCCCTCTGTTTTCTTCTAAGAGTTTTATTGTTTCAGCTCTTTTATTTAGGTCCTTTATCCATTTTGAGTTAATTTTTGTATGTAGTATAAAGTTCAGGGTCCAACTTCATTCTTTTGCATGCAGCTATTGAGTTGTCCCAGCACCATCTATTAAAGAGACTATCTTTCTCTACTGAATGGTCTTGGCATCCTTGTCAAAATCAACTGCCCACAGAGTAGGGGTTTATTTCTGGACTTTCAATTCCATTCCATCGATTTAGGTATCTATGTTTATGCCAGTAGCACACTGTTTTGAATCCTGTATCTTTGAAGTAAGTTGTGAAATCAGGAAGTATGAGTTCTCCAACTCTCTTATTAAGTCTTCCAACCCACAAACACTGGATTTTTCCATTTATTTAGGTCTTCTTTAATTTCCTTCAGAAATGTTTTGTAGTTCTCAGTACATAAATCTTACACCTCCTTGGTTAAATTCATTCCTAAATATTTTATTCTTTTTGATGATAATGTAACTTGAATTGCTTTATTTTTCTCTCTCTCTTTTTTTTTTTGGTGAGGAAGATTGGCCCTGAGCTAACATCTGTGCCAATCTTCCTCCTTTTGCTTGAGGAAGACTGTCACTGAGCTAAGATCTGTGCTAATTTCCTTCTGTTTGTACGTGGGAAGCTGCCACAGCATGGCTTGATGAGCAGTGTGTAGGTCTGTGCCCAGGATCTGAACCCATGAATCCCAGGCAGCTGAAGCAGAGTGTGCAAACTTAACCACTACACTACTGGGCCGGCCCCTTTACTTCCTTTCCAGACTGTTCACTGCTAACATATAGAAATACAACTGGTTTTGTGCATTTATTTTTAAAATAAAAACCATAAACTTATTTTATTTAAAAAATATTTATCTCTAAAAAATTTTTATACATTTAAAGCCTAATCATATAAAATTTTAAAAATACAGAAATGTAGAAAGAAGAAAATATGTAATGTCCATAGTATACAAGCAGAGATAAGCATTATTAATATCCATGGGTGCTTCCTTTGTCTTTTTCCAGGTATATATGTGTTTAGTGTGTGTGTGTGTGTGTGTGTGTGAAAGAGGGGAGGAGGCAGAGAGGCCGAGAGACAGAATTAACGAAATAGGAAAACAAACTCTTCCGGGAGAGCCATCAGTAAATCAAAACTCTACATACGAGACACTTATTCCAAAAAATTCCATTATAATTGTTATACAGACTTATATACTTGAGGTGAAAGAATCACGGCACTAAAAGGCCCTCCACCAGGATTTATCCTAAATGGCAGAATGTAGGAGAAATGGGGAGGAGATGAGGACAAGAATAGCCACATCAGTCACAGGACAGACTGGCAGAAACAATCATCTACTGCATGTACTATATTTCAAAACATTAAAATATTTAGCTTCAAGTGAGATTTAAAAGTTTACCATTACTTAATCTCTGAATAAGCATTTGGGTCAGCTGATTAGAGCCAAAGCAAGAGAAAACTCTTACCTAGCCGCTTTTGTTCTGAGTCAGCCATTTGTAATACGTAATCTAAATCCTTAGATAAAACTGTGGTACAACTTTAAATGCCATATTACTATCTAGCTAGGATGGAGAGGGTAAGTTAAACATTCTTCAGTAAAGAAGATAGCATGAAGTAGAAAAAAACTTGAAAAATATATATGGTATCTAAAAACTGTCCGAAGTCCAAAACTCTTGGAATTTTAGAATACGTAGGGAACTTAAAAATCACCTACTTCTATTTCCTGATTTCAGACGAACAAACTGAGTTTCAGAAAGATTAGATGATTTTCCCAAAGTTATTGTCTTTATATCCCATAGGAACTGTGGTGTGCACATTTTGTAAGGAGCAAACTTTTTTGTTCATGTAATTTTTTATATAAAATAGAATAAAGAATATGCAAAAGTAGATCAAATTAATATGAATTTTTATACATTACATTTACTTTATTATAAAGTCAAAGATTAAGAATAATGAGATTGTTTTGAATGTAAACATTTCAAATCAGACATGGATTACAGTTGCAATCTAATGTCAGACATTCAATTCTAGATTATTAAATAAATTATTAAATTGGTTATAAGTTGTCAATTTATAAAAAATATCAGTCTATAGATTGTCAAAACCAATTTCTTTTTTATTTTGCCTTCACAGTATTAATGAAATTCTGAGCCATAGAAAATAGCAATGGCAAGAGGTAAGACATTATGTTTAATTAAAGTTCCCATTGCGAACACAACATACATGTTTAAAAAAATGTCTCAGAAGCTTGAATGAGAAATAGCAGGAAAGATTTCTTTCCAACTTGAATCAATAGGATCTAACCCTTATCCAAATTCCTTATGAATAGAAAAGATACAAAAAAACCTGAGCTGGAGTGCCATAAGTTCTCAACTATCTACTGAAGCACGATAAGAACACAGGGCAGGAAGATGGCACTTACAGCTGTGTGTAACTGCTCCAGTAGTTTGATATGAGTAAATGCACCCAGGGCCTACCAGACCTTCAAATGAGTATCGCAACAGTAAAGACCCAAGCATGAATATGTGGAAAAGTTCTACATGACTCTGGTCCACAATCAGGCATGAGAAACAATAAAGGAGGCTGATAAAGTAGACTGATAAAGCAATACAAGCATTTTTCACTTACTGAAATACTATAAGGTAAAGTCTATTATCCAGATATTACCCAAACTCTGTAAAATCGAACAGAAACGTATGTATATTATAGGTCAGCTCTAAGTTACATAAATTACTCAAATGTTTTCTAAATGAAAAGATTAAAATATCTTAGATATGGTTTTAATCTATTTTATTTTAAATGAAAAGATTAAAATATCTTAGATATGGTTTTAATCTATTTTATTTTGAAAGTAATAATCTCGGCCTGGCATACGTGGCAACTTCTGCTAACAAGAATATCTGATTAGCCAAAACATTAAAAATACATTAAGACTGAACAAAACAGACAAAACCTTTATCTTACATGAAAATACAAATTTTTAAATATTTCCTTAGCTCACATAGGTACAGTTTTTTCTTATACTAGTATGAGACTATAATTTGTTTGAAAAAAAGATTTTAATTGTAGCCAAGGACTAAAAATGGGCCACAAATCTACAGTGTTGTATAACAGATGATTGATTGAGAATAGATGTTTAAGTGGAGTGCTAATATTACTTTGCTGCTCTTGTGAACATCTAGAACAGAGAGATAATCTTAATCCAAAACAAGTCACACTGCGCCCTTGAACCAAAATCATACTATAAAGTGTATAATATGATTGGCAAATTAATTATATAAAGATTATGGGTCTGGGGAAAACTATGGGAGGGAGTGTTGGCCTACTTTAAAATCAGCTGTTTTAAAATCATTTTTTAAGTTACACTAGCAGCAGCCCATTTAAAGAACTACTCACAAATGGTCACTACCTTTTCATTTTACCAAGACCAGAGTACTTCATGTGTGTGAAGGTAATAAAAGCATTTCTTCCTTTTAAATAAAAGTATTTATCTTCCTTTTTAAAAAATCTTACATGAATTTTCCCTAATCTGGACTGACCTTTTCTTAAATTATTTTAAATTTTATTAAGGCTTTGTATCCTGCTAATTTGTTTAGCCAATCTAGGTGACTATTCACTTGTTTTGACATAAAGGCAATTCTTCTCATCAAGATTTCACATGCGAATCACCCGGAGATTTTTTTAATGCATGATCTCAGCTTCACCTCAGTCCTACTGAATCAGAATTCCTAGGGACAGAGTCTAGGCATATATATTTTTAAAACTCTCCAGGTAATTCTGATTTGCACCCCTATTTAAGCATCACTGTCCCTAAGGTACCAATTTGACAAAAAGCCCTCAATAAGACAATCTAGTACATTAAACTCACAACCCAACTATTCACCGAACCAACTGTTCAATGAATAACAGTATTGAGGGAAAACCCAAAAACTCAAAAAATTCTTAGAAATTTGGTACCTGTTCTGATATATTGTAATCCAAACATTCTCTAGGATAGACCAGATTTCTTGATGCCTGTTGGGCTGGGGAAGAGGAGAACCTGGGAAAATGGTGATTTCCTGGTTATTAGACTTCATCAAAGAAGAATCTTCTTTCTTTTTACCCACTGTATTTTCTGAAGGATCTTGCTTAAGTTTTGCCTTGACCTGGGGAAATAAGAATTACATAATATGCAGCTAGTCCTTCACTAGTAAGTGAGAGAAACAGAACGTCAATTGTACTTACAAATGTTCTAGCTTTCCAGGAAGTGCTGACTATTCTTTGTCCTTGATTATGTACAGAATATTCCCAGAAAAGCCTCAGAGCTAGAAAAAATATTATCCTTTTCCATTTATATCAAATGATATTTCCAATCTACTAATTATAGTGGCCTTTCTTAGCTAACATGTTAGTATCAATTTAAGAACACTGTTCGGACACTTCTACACATATGGCATTGAACTAGATAGAGGACACCTAGGGTACAATGATAAATAGGTGTAATCAAGCCTCAGCACCTTACAATCTAGTAAAAAGAATGAGACTGCAAAGGGTGTGAAAAAAAGAAAAATCAGGATAGAATGTAAACCTTATGCTATGAGCAATGGTGAAACACTGACGGTTTCTAATTCAGGAAGTGATACCCTCAGAACCGCACTCTAAGACACACTGGATCAAAACATGCCTCAAAATACTCTGGAAATTTTTTAAAACATGCAGACAACAGCAGGTAAAGGATATTTTCATTCTAACTTATTCTAACGTACTAAAGGCATTAAGCAAATACTAAGCGAATTGAATGGAGAGTAAACAGTTATTATTATAAGTTATAAAACACACATCCTCTTATGGAAGCCGTGTCACAGCAGTGCTGGGATTTTATATTATTTCATTTATGGATGGAAGAAAGCTGTGCAGTGTTGTTTGATTGCTCATTTTCCAGTGCTCCAGACCATGTCTGCTAAATACATTTTTAGAAGGGATGTGATTAGCTACTCTAAACAGCATGCCAAAGCTATCTTACCTCTGTAAATGTTTGGAGCAGTTTGCTTACTTGAGCAAAGGCCTGTGGAAGAACACCATCATAATGCGACCTTGTGCTGAAAGCATGTAACAAACTCTTAGAATCCTGAAGCAGGAATTTCACTGTTGTAAAATCCACTGCACTGTTAGCTGGAAACAGAAAATTAAGAAGGAAAAAACACGTAAGAATGAGTATACAACACAAAAACATCTTTGGAAAACCAATCTAATATTAATTGTGGAAGTTAAGAAGAGTACGCATTCACACCTACATGACACTCCTAACTGATCGCTCTGGTGTAAAAAGCAACAATTAAACAGGCTTTGTTGGAGATAAATTCTTGGAGTTGCTTCTCGTATTGTGTATTCAGATTCCAGGAGTTCCCTAAACACGGTCAACTTCACAGTAAAAGTTAAGTGAGAGAACATTATGCTCTTCAGAAAAGAGAGAGAATCACCAAATAAGTTAAACAACAGATTTTGAATTCTGAGGTTGTTTCATACACAAATTACTGTGGAGGCATTGGAAGAGTCACATTTCGGTGGCAGGCGTGTAAGTTCTATGTGGTACCTCTCAATCAACTCAGTTATCACGTTGAGATTTACCTTCAAATTCCATTACATGAAATGTAATACTAGGTTTATTGAAAATAATGTGTGCTCTCTCTCTGCACAACACAACTTCAGCAAAAAATAAACAATTTGGGTAAAAGTGAGCTGTGGGCAAAAGAAGCTGGCAGAATTTTTGTCCCCTGTAAATTAGTAAAGTGAGTTAATCTACAAATAATAATTTAATGGTATAACAATTTTCTCTCAAGAAACTAAAATTACTTACATTAAATTCTCAAACCAATTAGAGGTTAGTGGCAATAATTTCAAAGATTTAAAAAGTTAAGAACAGTGAAGATAAGTAACTTTCTAATGTCACCAAAACTCAGATCAGAAAAAATTCTTTCCATTACTAAGATAGAATGCTACATAGTTTTCAAAGGCATTTAGAATAACCATGCTACAATGTGTTTGTTTTGTTTTCTTTTAATGTTCATCGTTTCAGAGACTCTGTTATATTCTGAAACATCAGCATAGTTTTTTCACTGGAACTGTGAGGTAAAGTAACAGAGTTCCTCTGTTTTTCTTTTTTTTCTTTTTGAGGAAGATCAGCCCTGAGCTAACATCTGCCAATCCTCTTTTTGCTGAGGAAGACTGGCCCTGAGCTAACATCCGTGCCCATCCTTCTCTACGTTCTATGTGGGACGCCTACCACAGCATGGCTTGCCAAGCGGTGGCATGTCCGCACCTGGGATCCAAACCAGCGAACCCCGGGCCACCAAAGCGGAACGTGCACACTTAACTGCTGCACCACCGGGCCGGCCCCCAGAGTTCCTCTGTATCACTTACACAAGAAGCATTTGCTTACGAAATACTGAAAGATGAAATGAAAATAAAAAGATTTTAATAATTAATTATACAACATTCAGAAATTCTAATCTAATCTGATGGTTATAGCCAAGCTTCTGGCTTCTCCTTTATCAAACAAACACTATTATTTCCTTACAAAACACTCTTAGTTGGGGGCTGGCCCAGTGGCACAGCAGTTAAGTTCGCACATTCTGCTTCTTGGCGGCCAGGGGTTCGCCGGTTCAGATCCCGGGTGCGGACAGGGCAATGCTTGGAAAGCCATGCTGTGGCAGGTGTCCCACATATAAAGTAGAGGATGATGGGCACAGAAGTTAGCTCAGGGCCAGGCTTCCTCAGTAAAAAGAGGAGGACTGGCAGTAGTTAGCTCAGGGCTAATCTTCCTCAAAAAAAACCCACATTTTTAGTTATTTTTTAAATCAATGAGTTTAAATTCCTGTGGGAAAAGAGAGATGAGAGACGCCACACATAGGACAGCATGTAGACTAGATGAATCCAGTAAGTCTCCTGAGGAGGAGAAACTGGACACAACTTCTTTTAAGGGTGCTTCTCCAAGGCAGTCAGTGTTCAGTAGGGCTTACATTCTTGAATCAATCATTTGATTTCTGTCAAACAAAAATCCTTTACTAAGATTTGGGCAAAAGGGAAATAACAAACATAAATTCAGTACTTAGACATAACATAAAGAAATCTACACAGTTTAAACAGTTTAATGCTTAAATAGGTTAATAATCATTTAGATTAAAGTAAATATAGATAACAAAGCCAGAAAAAACTACTAGTCATTTTCCATACAATTTTCTATGAATGGATCTAAGGATATGAGTTTGCTATACTGAAGTTAAACACATACGAATAACTCAACAGCTGAGGATACTATTAAAAGATATTAAACAAAATCATAAACTGTGATTTTTCCAATTCAAAATTATTTTAGAGCAGAAGGCACTTTTATACTTCTATTATGTATTCTTCACAAGTCAGTAAACATTAGGCATCAGATTCTTCTAAACCAAGGATCAATAAATTACACACACAATGATTCCAAAAATGACTTTTTAGCAGAAGCAACAGTCACCATCTTTTCACTTCTCTCCCTACTGCCAGTTAGAGCTGCTGCCCACTACCTCTGAGCTGCGTGCAAGAGCGAAACACGGCCCACCGCTGGAAAACAGACAGACGGAAGATGGCAACTAGATACCCTCCGTTTGAAACTAAATCTCGTTCAAGATCATACACAGTTTATGGATTTTCTCTTTTGAGAGAATCAACTAAATTATGCCCCTAGTAAAAGATATGAAAAATGTTTCTATATATCTTGTAAAACTGCTTTGAAGACATGTCCAGTAGGTTGTTCCATGTCCCTTAAATAATAATACCCCTAATAAATAAGTTCCATAGTTAAAGACAATGCCTGGAAAGTATCTTTATTTTAAAAATTGGTAACTTTTAAAAAGAGACATTCATGCAACATCTACCACGTATAAGTCATAAGTCGCTAATTAGGAGCTTTAAATCCCCTGGAGGAATTTTTAAAGATATAAAAATTTTCAAAGGGTTTACACTTCAGGGGAAAGAGAGAGACAACTGGTATACCTACTATAGAATATTTTTTTCCTTTTGTTTTGTCTTAGCTTCCAGGAAGCTTAGTGTTCAAATCTATATTCAAGTGATGCAATAATTGTTTGCACATGTTTTAGGGTAAAGCTATCTTTCTGATTCTTTATTACCTGGCTCCTGTGCCTTTAAACCTAACTTAAACCCTCTTGTCATCAGATTGTTATTTAATAGCCCTCATACTCACAGTTACTTTTTAAAAGTTGACAGGATATAAGTAATAAATAAAGTAATACATAGAATAGATCACTTCATGTTAGGAGTTCAAAAAAAATCAAGAACCAACTGAACATCCTAGTAATGGTTACACTTTGCTTTTTATTTGTTTGTTTTTTGAGGAAGATTAGCCCTGAGCTAACATCTGCTGCCAATCCTCCTCTTTTTGCTGAGGAAGACTGGCCCTGAGCTAAGATCCGTGTCCATCTTCCTCCACTTTACATGTGGGATGCCTGCCACAGCATGGCCTGCCAAGCGGTGCCATGTCCGCACCCGGGATCCGAACCGGCACCTTGGATCTGAACTGGCAAAGCCCGGGTGGCCAAAGTGGAACTTGTGAACTTAACCACTGCGCCACACCACGGGGCCGGCCCCTACACTTTGCTTTTTAAAGGTACAGCAATACATATCTGTTTGACTCTGGATAAATCACTTACCCTCTCAGGGCTAGTTTTCTTCATCATACAACAACGGGCTTTAATAACATTAGATCAGTGCTTTTCACATCTTTTTCTTCTTAGCAGAGAAACTTTCTTTTTCAAATCTTACATGGAATTTCCAAATATAAACAGATAAAAGGAAGCTGCATGACTAAAGTCGGAGTTGAGGGCCAGAGGCCACTTACCAGGCTCCCCATCCACCAACCTTTCCTCCTCCAGTCTGTGGCAACTCCAGAGGCACTGCAAGAGGTTCTGTACAACGTACTTTAAAAGCCACCAACTAAGTGCTGGAATATAGTCTTTTGTGGTTCTAAAATTCACTATGCACCACAGCCAAAGCTTTCCTATTCCTTACCCCTACAGTTTAGATAGAAACCTTGATACATTATTTTTAAAATTAGTACATGAAATGTGGTCAGAGTTTGCATGTTAAACCCAATGAGAAATTTAAAAAATCTAAATAATTCTATTTGTGTATCTGAATAAACTGTAAAATATGGTTTAAAAAGTTTTAAACATTATTAAAAATTATATATTCACAACATCCAGTAACATCAACAATGATACCATTAAGAGTCATAAGCTCTATGAACGAGATCCATTCAACCAGCTGCCACAAATTCCTATTAGAAATTAGAAGCATAAATGAATACTTAAGAACTAAATGACAAATTTTATTAGTTCATCTTCACATCCCATGGAATATATCTCCTAGTCTCACTTTAACACAACACTGCTAAATACAAAATAAAAGATTCATACCTTTGTAGAGATTTTCATATAGGCTCTCAATGGTTAAAAGCAAGTTCTTTTCCATAACTAATCCAAATATAGCCAACCAATGTTTTCTAAAGCACTGTAATAAGTGTATTAGAGTCCATGGTGGTTTCAAGTACAGCATCTAAAAGGTATTTAGAAAAAATTAGCATCTATTGATTTATTTATTATTCCAATTATTAAAAAGTACCTATTCAGGAATTCCTACATACATTTTTGGGCAAAATATAGTTAAATTCTTTTTAAACTAAAAGATATTTTATTAAAGCCAATCATAATCTTAAAGGCTAATTCCATTGCAAATTGCTTTTGTAAAATTCATATTTGTATTAGTCCTTATAGTTTCAGAAACTATATGTGCGAAAAGCAAGCACAGTTCTAACTGGAAAAAGCATAGTTTTAACCAGCAAATGGCATCAATCTACTTTTCAACACAGTCATTTCTTTGAGGAAATCAGTCTAATTATTTCATATAACTGGAAAAAATCTATACAGAAAAAAGTGGTCAACTATGCTTGACACTTGCTACACTCTTGCAAAGACATGTATAAAAAGAGATTGATCACTTAGCACCACAAGATGTCAGCATGGCTTTTTTTGAAGCATTCACATGCAATGATTTTCCTAGACTCTATTATGAAATATCCAATTTAAGTCAACCCTCCTAGAAGCATCTGATCATTCTTCATCTTGGTTCAAGACTTGATAATAATCAAGCAGCAAACATATCATACTGGCAAACATTAGCATCTCAGTGAGTATCTGGAATAGATACAATCTATAGTTGATGGGGAATAATGTTTCTCCCAGCTATAAATGTCAACAGCAAACAAACCTTAAACTAAACTAAAAAGGCCACTATAGCCAAATGCTGTGTTTTACTGATTGCAGAAAAGATGTGAGTCTAAAGAAAATTCAAGATATCTTGCTAATAAGATCAAATTTATACTCTGATTCTCATATTTACATGACATAAGCCAAAATATATACTTCTTTGTCTGAATACATATTGCTAGGGGAATTCCCTATACAAGACATTTTGACTCACATATGAGAGAAATTTTTCTGAATTCAACTTCAGCTCCATGAGGCAAGGTGTTTGACACTAGTAGATTCACAATAAATATTTGTTCACTGAAAAAATGAATAAAATATAGTCCTGGTCTTTAGGAAATGTCCATCAATTTTCAAAAAGTTTTTTCAAAAACTTCCAGAAAAAACATAATATGATATAGATTAGCACAATGAAGCTTACACATTTTATACAAGAAATATTTCTTAAAGTAAGGTAACAAATCTTTAGCAATAAAAGAGAAATTTTCAACTATTAGGGTTGAAATAATCACCTCCATCCAAAGGTTTCCAAAAGCAATTTTCATTTCTGTTTCTAATATTGAAGATAAAGCTGTTCCAAGAGATTTTTCAAGGTCAGATATGATGCTTTCAAGTAGAATGAGTAGTCCAGAATTTGTAGATTCTTCCTCACAGCTCTCTTCCAAAGGTGCTGCTTCTTTAAAACAAACAGTTACAGGCTTTATTTAGGACACGGATAGTAAACATTTCACATATACAGTTAGTATTAAGCCATAATTAATAAATATTTTATGTATATAATTAGAATTTGAATTACTTGGAAAACAAACCAATACTTTCTTTAGAAACATGTATCTCTAGTATACTTGTTGTTTTAGATGCAAGATAAATATACTATGTTAGCCAATGCTTTATCTTTTTGACAAAAGGCAACTAAATATTTTTACTAAAATAGAAATTTAAGAAATGAGTGTGATATTTTAACTACAATTTTATTTTTATTTTCCAAAAAAGGAAAAATTCAAAAAATGCTTTACATTTATAATAGAAAACCAAGAACTATGGATCAAAATGTTTCCTTCCAAAAAATAGCATATTTTTCCAATTGCAGCTCACATCGAAAAGGACCAAATATGTTATGAAAGGACCAAAATCTCTGGCTTAACTAACTGCCTTTACGCCCTCTCCTTTTAAAATGAGCTTTTATTATTTTAATTAATATCATTTCATTAACATTACTATTTTGATACCTGAAAAGAACTGCAATTTCTTTATTGGAAAATTCAAAATATTAAGTGGTTTATCTCTAGAAATACAAACTAAGGATTAAAAATGACAGTCATATAATGGGCAAACTGAAAGTATGTGACCCCTGAAAAACCATACACTGGAATATCCTGTTACCTCTAATAAATGCCATTTTGAATTTTATGACAAAAGAAATTTTATTACCAAAAAGGTCAAAAAAGTAGCATGTGTACATATGAATTTTTCTATAATTATATGTAAAAGGTACATACAATATTAGAGATTTCAATAATTACACTCCCCACAGAGGAAAAAGGTGGGATGTATTTTTAAATTATGTCAGATTTAATATAATATACCATCAAATAACAAGCTATAGAACAGATTATTCTGGTCAAGAAAAAGAGATTAAACAACAGTATGGCCTTTAGCTTTTTTAAGTATTAGTTTAAAATTAAAAAAAATTATTACTAGAGTCCCTCAAGTTTCTCTATTACTGAGTTTTTACTGTATTAATAGAAGGTTATGAATATAAGGCTAATTGTAGAAAGAAACAAAAAAATTCTCTCCACCTCAAATGAATATTTCCTGTAGCTACTATTAATTTAAAAGCCATACTCTTCAAGGTACAAAATAGCATGCATACAGTGATTATAAATATGTAAAAATGTGAGTGTGCAGACAAAAATTCAAATTAATTTGTAAAAGTGTATGTAGAAGGCAATAATGTTAATTATGTTTTCTTTTGGATTACCATTATAGCATTCATTTATTTCTACCATTTATGTGCCAGCAAATATTCCAAACAATGTTATTTTAAATGTACAAGATGAAAATTTACTATTAATTCCAATTGTTATCAATAATCTTAGGATATAAAATAAGATATATTTCTAATTATTTGTAGTAAGAATACTACCTGCTTTCAATTGTTGCTTAGATATACAGGGCTGATGACATACATCTGTGTTCAGAGATAAGTTTAACAACTCTGCACTCAATTATTCTTTACTGAGTGACTTCACACCACTTATTAGGCCTTTGTTTCTTAAATTTCTATCATACCTAAGGTTGAGGTTAGGAGTAAAAAATATTTTATTTTTTGTAAGATAAATCACACAGCAACTCAAAATACATGGGATCTAATCAGAGGTTGGTGATTCTCAGCATACATATTAACAAAGGATAGCAATTTCTTTTTAAACAGAAAAGATAAAGGAATTAACACATAGCAGAGGCACATCATATGAGTTTTTGAGGATAATAATAATTATTATATATCAAAAGTTTTCCCGGTACCAGGCACTGTTCTAAGCACTTTACACATATCAATCCATTTAATTCTCACAACAAACCTCCTAGGTGGGAGTGGTACTAATCTTATCGCCATTTCACAGATGAGAACCTGAGGTGTAGAAAGTTTAAGTAACTTGTCCAAAGTTATACCTGGTACGTGGAAGCCAGATTTGAACACAAGAATATGATCATCCAAAAAGAAATAAATAGAGAGCCACAGTAAGAGAAATAATTTACACAGGGCAGGCAATTACAAATTTAGTCTGAGGGAGCATAAGACAAACGGTGTAAATTTGCTATTTGCAGAAAGAAGTCAGTATAATTAGAGCATAGTGCAGGAGACCAGTTTACGTGGCTAGAGAGAAAGGCAAGGACCTTAACAAATGCAAAGACATTTTTAAGGGCTTCAATGGCGAAGTGACATGATCACATCTGTGTTTATTAAATTGTTATTCTGGAGTCCAGCAGGCTTCCAGCTTTTGTTAACGGCAGAACAGCTTAATCAGACTAACTTTCCCACAGATGAGAATTAGAAAATCTGAACAACAACAGAAAACTATCTGAAGGCTCTAGAGAGCACTAAAATGTAGGCAGAAGCTAGAAGAGGGTCTACCCTCAAGACAGACACTACACTGGTGAAAACAAGAAGTTTCTATCTTTTCGCCTGAGGGCATTCCCCAATTCATCAATGGCTTATGACAGAAAGCCACAGTCTTAGTGGCTTGAAATGTCAGAAGACAATGTTCAGGACTGGCCAGGGCAGATAGAAAGTTAAAGGCGAAACTGAAGAAGGGAGGAAACCACAGAGTAGGTGAGCCCTAAAATCTGCACATAAATTCTGCCTAGAAAAAACAACACACTGCCAAGAGATGAAGCAATCAACAGAACCAGATTCTGATATGACACAGATGTTGAAGGTATCTGATAGGGAATTTAAAATAGTTTTGATTAATATGTTAAAGGCTTTAATGGAAAAGGTAAACAGCATGCAAAATCAAATGGGCAGTTTCCGCACAGATGAAAGTTGTAAGAATCAAATGGAAGTGGCTAGTAATTAAAAAAACCAGTTATCAGAAATGAAGAATGCCTTTGACAGGCTCCTCAGCAGACTTGAAATACGTGAGGAAAGAAAAACAAATTTGAAGACAAGTCAACAGAAATTACCCAAACTGAAACAAAAAGAGACTAAAAGGTTAAAAAAAAACCCAGAGCTGTGGGACAACATCAAACAGTCTAACATACACACATGTATTAGTTATCTACTGCTGTGTAACAAGTTATCCCAAAACTTAGCAGCTTAAAACAAGCATTTACTCTCTCACAGCTCCTAAGAGTCAGGAATCTGGGAGCAACCTGACCGGATGGTTCTGGCTCAAGGTCTCTCACAAGGCAGGAGCATAGTATTGCCTAGGGTTGCAGCCATGTCAAGGTTAATTGGCGCTCATTCATGTGGCTGTTGGCAGGCCTCAGCCCCTCACTGGTTCTTGGCTGGAGGCTTCAGTTTCTCACTATGTGGGCCTCTCCAGAGGGCTGCTCACATCATGGCAGCCTGCTTCCCCAGAAGAAGTGATCCAAGAGAGAAGAGAAAGAAAGAGAGTGACCAAGAAGGAAGTCCCAGTCTTTTATAACCTAATTGCAGAAGTAACATTATCAGTTCTGATGCCTGCTCTTTATCATGCAGTCAACTGAGCCTGGTATGGTGTTAGAGGGGACTACACATAGGCTTTAATACTAAGAGGCAGAGATCATTGGGGTGATCTTGGAGGCTGGCTACTACAATGTAATTCTGTAATAACAGAGGACAAAAGAGGGAATGGAGCAGAAGAAATATCTGAAGAAATAACGACTAAGAATTTTTCAAAACTAAAGACAGGCACCAAACTACAGATCCAAGAAGCTCAGAGAACATCAAACAGGATAACTTCCCTTTTCTCTACCCCACCCCCACATACACAAACACACACCTGGGCACATCTGCTAAAAACTGCTAAAACAAACTGCTAAAAAAGCAAAAGACAAAGAAAAAAATCCTGAAAACGAGAGGGAAAAAAGACACATTATATAAAGAGGAATAGAAACAATTATAGCAGACTTCTCATCAGAAACCACACAAGCTAGAAGAAAATGGAGTGACATCTTTGAAATACCAGAAGGAAAAAAAAGTCAACCCACAATTGCATATCCAGCAAAAATACCTTTCAAAAATAAATAATAAATAATGACATTATCAGGCAAACAAAACTAGAAAATTCATTGCCAACAAACTTACACATGTCAAAGAAAGTTGTTTAGGCAGAAAGAATATGATACCAGACAAAAACCTGAATCTATAAAAAGCAATGAAAAGTGCTAAAAATGGAATGAAGGATTAAAATATTCATTTTTTTATTTTTAATTGCTTTAAACAGTAAATGACTGAAGCAAAAATAGTAGCAAAGTATTATGTGTTTATTATTTCATAAAGGTAAAATACACGACAATGACATCACAACGGATGAGAGAAAGAAATTGGGAATATACTGTTATAAGATCCTTACACCTCATGTGAAGCAATATAATATTATTTGAAAGTAGGCTTGGATCAAGTAAAGATGTATATTGTAAACACTAGGGAAACCATTAAAAAGTTTTTCAAAAAGGTATAAATAAATCAATAATGGAGATAAAATGGCACCATAAAAAATAATCTAAGAAAGGAAAAGAAGAAAAGAACAGATGAAACAAATAGAAAATAATTAGCAAAATGGTAGATTTTGATCAAACCAAATAAATCAATGGTATAAAGTCACCAATTAAAAGACAAAAATTGTCAGATTGGACAAAAGTACCAACTCTATGCCATCCACAAAATACTAAAGACATAGATAGGTTAAAAGTAAACAGATGGTGGGGCTGGCCCCATGGCCGAGTGGTTAAGTTCACACGCTCCGCTGCAGGCGGCCCAGTGTCTCATTGGTTCGAATCCTGGGCGCACACATGGCACTGCTCATCAAACCATGCTGAGGCAGCATCCCACATGCCACAACTAGAAGGACCCACAACGAAGAATATACAACTATGTACTGGGGGGCTTTGGGGAGAAAAAGGAAAAAATAAAATCTTTAAAAAAAAAAAAAGTAAATAGATGGAAAAAGATATACCATATAAATACTAACCAAAACAAAACTGGAATAGTGATACTAACACTAAACAAAGGAGACTTCAGAACCAGGAATATTGTCAGAAACAAAGAGAGATATTATATAATGAGAAAGGGGTAAATTCTCCAAGAAGAGAATCCTAAATAATCCTAAATTTGTATCCATCTTACTACAGAGTTTCATAATATATGAAGTAAAACAAACAGAACTGAAAAGAGAAGTAAACAAATCCACAATTATAGTTGGAGATTTCCATACTCTTCTCTCAGTAATCGTAGAATAAGTAGACAGATAATCAGAAAAGTTATAGAAGACCCAAACAACACTATCAACCAACTTGACCTAATGGAAGTTTATAGAATACTCCACCCACAAGAGCAGAATATACATTCTTTTTAAGTGCACATAAAACATTCACCAACGTAGACCATATTCTTGGCCATAAAACAAACTTTAACAAATTTAAAAGAATAGAAATCCTATAAATTATGTTTTCAAGCCATAGCAGAATTAAAGTACAGATAAATAACAAAAAGATAACTGGAAAAATTGCAAATATTTGGAATTAAGCAGCAAACATCTAAATGACCTATGGGTCAAAAAGGAAATCATAAGGGAAGTTATAAAGGATATTGAATTGAATAAAAATAAACAAACAACATATCAAAATTTGTGGGATGCAGCTAAAGCAGTGCTTAAAAAGAAATCTACAGCAGTCTCAAATAAATGACTTAAGCTTCCACCTTTAGAAACTAGAAAAAGAGCACAAAGGGGCAAGAGAGTATTTTCGGGGGTAATGGAAGTGTTCTATATATCAAGGAGGATGCGGGCTACACCAGCCTACCCCTGTCAACACTGTAGAGTTAAGATTTGTGCATTTTAATAGGGTATGTTCTTCCTCAAAATACAAAGAACTGTATGAAGATAACCATATGGGGAACAGAGAGTGGATGGAGATATAGATAGAAGATGGCAGAATTATGATAATTGTTGCAGCTGGGTACTTTGGAGTTTATCAGCTCTCTTTCATTTTGAATATGTTGAAATTCTCCATAATGAAATTTTTTTAATTAAAAATTTAAAAATACCATTATTACTTTTTGAAGCGTAAATGAAGGAGAGCTAGAGTAGAAGTAGAGAGCATAATTAATCTTAGAGTAGAAAAGGAAGAAAAGAGGAAAAATAACGTGGTTTGACATAGGATGGTGGCAGGGGAGATACAGAAAAGACCATACAAGACTCGTAATTGACTGGATATAGATTACGAGGGAAAGGCAGGTATCAAAAATGACTCCTAGTTTTCTAGCTTTAGCAAATGGGTGGAAGGTGGAACTTTTTGTTCAGATGGAAACAGTTTAGAAGGAAAGATCAGGAGTTCATTTCTGGAGACAGTAGGTTCCAGATGCCTATGAGACATCCAAGCAGAGATATCAAATAAGTAGATGAACATACTAGTCTAGAGTTTAGAAGAGAGATATGGACTCAAGTTACCAACTAGGGGTTGCTGGCCCATATTTAGGATTGTAAATGTAAGTAGAAAACTTAGAATCAGGTATAGTATATAGTATGATAGAAGGGTTCTCCTTCACTATCATTATCAATTAATATTAATTATCATCTTCATCATCCATTTAAGCAATATAAATGTATCCTTATAATAAGGAGGTGTGACTCACACAGTAGGCATGACTATCACCCTTTATAGGAAAAAATAAAAATAAAAAACAGGCTCATGTGGAGCATGATAACGCCAGAATGAAAAGTAAGGTGTGACACATGGATAAGGATAACAGATTGGAGGTTACCAGAGAAGGAGGTTCGGGGAAGGTGAAAGGGGTAAATGGACACATGTGTGGTGACAGATAAAAACTAGACTATTGGTGGTATACATGATGCAGTCTATATAGAAACCGATAATATAATAATGTATTTGTGTGTGTGTGTGTGTGTGTGTGTGTGTGTGTGTGTGAGGAAGATTGCCCCTGACCTAATATCTGTGTCAATCTTCCTCTATTTTGTACGTGGGAGGCTGCTACAGTGGTGTGTAGGTCCACACCTGGGATCCAAACCTATGAAACCCAGGCCACAGAGCACACAAACTTAACCACTACACCTCTGGGCTGGCCCCACATAATAAACTACATCTGAAATTTGCACAATATTATAAGCCAATATGACCTCAATAAAATAATTTTTTTTAAAAAGTAAGGTTTGATTACAAATGTTCATTTCACTACAAAATGTTACATCTGTTAATCCCAAAACACTGATTGCAGAAATAACGGAGAATTGATAAAGTCTCTTCAATTTAATTTTCATTCTAAGTTGAACTTTAAAAAAATTACACAATTATCTCTCAAATCTAGCTTATCTCAAATTCAAACTGATTAACATATTACTAGTTCTATTTCAGCCTTCAACAAACTCCAAGACGACATATTATGTCCTTCATCAAAAAATAATTTAAAGCCTAGAGACAGAAATCTCTAATATTTCATTTAATGCCAAAAAGAATAACATCTTTGAAGACAGCTGAAATGATAACTGACCAAGCCCCCTTACAAGAAAAATCTTAGGGCTCTTCATTTCTATAATCACTCCATTTCACAGAGAATTCAGGCACAATCATGAAATTGTAAAACTCCCATTTCGCAGTGAATAAAATTCAGACTAAAGCTGCAAATTAAAATTGCTCTGCTTGGTTCCTTCAGAGCTTTTTCTCACATATGATGAATACAATTTTGCTTAACATTGTTAGTTTTACCTTAGAATTAAGTTATGAAAATATCAGTTGGGAACGGAAGAAAGGAAGGAGGAGGAAGGAAGGAGGAGGAAAAACTCTTATAGAGAGCATTTGATGTACTAGGCACAATTTTAAGTCCTTTATATATAGATATATTTTTTTTTCCTCAATACTCACAATAACCTCACGAGGCAAGTATTATTATTCTCCCTATATTTTACACGTAAGAAAACTAAGTCAAGCAACTTTCCAAGATCACAAAGCTGATAAGTGGCAGACCCAGGACTCCAACTCCAACCCCATAACAGGCACCCAGGACATAAGTGTAACATAACCTACCCTCCCCAACAAACTAATTAGTCAATTAAATAAGCTTCTTGCCCCATGACCAAAAAATGTCAGATTTTTATTTCTGAACTATTTTACTGGGATATTAAATTGACTTTCCCCTGCTTTTTCAAAAGTCTTCTAAATATCATATAAATTAAATTGAAATGAAATTTCATGAGATTCAAATCTCATTCTTCTATAGCTTACACATTATAAGAATGTGAGATATAACAATATGCTTACCGGCAGATTTAGAAAATTATGCATGTTTCAGATCCTTGGTATGGTGGATACAGTATGATTTTTAAAAATTCTTTGGGATAAGTTGCTATTTAAACAAAAGAGTAAAATGACTATGAAACTCACGTGCACAGAATAACAAGAGAACAAGGGAATAATTGCTGGTACTGAAGACAGCATTTTAATACTCGATCATCATTGTTCTCATCACTCAATCCATCTGCAAATTTAACAAAAGCAACAATCAATCAGCACACTAAAATCCCAGATACTGGGGCTGGCCCCGTGGCGGAGTGGCTAAGTTCTCGCGCTCCGCTGCAGGCGGCCCAGTGTTTTGTTGGTTCGAATCCTGGGCGTGGACATGGCACTGCTCAGCAAACCATGCTGAGGCAGCGTCCCACATGCCACAACTAGAAGGACCCACAACGAAGAATATACAACTATGTACTGGGGGGCTTTGGGGAGAGAAAGGAAAAAAAAAAAATCCATATACTATATGAACAATCTAGGCTGTATTTACAAATCAAAAACATCTAAAAGAAAGAAAACTTTTTAAATAAAAAGAGGACACAGCAAAATAATGCCATGAAAATTCTAGATCTAGAATTCAGGAGCATATAGTGGTGGGTTTAACAAAGTGGTTAGTTTACTACTAAAATGGAATAAGATAAGCTTATTCAGAAACACAAAGGAAAGAAACATAATCAGCAAGTTAAGTGCCATATTAGAAACCAAATGCTATGAATTCTAGTCTCAGGTCAGTCACTTAGAGATTATAAGTAAATTATGCGATTACATCATGCTTAAAGCTATCTCAACTTAAAAGACGTTTGTACAATAATGAGCAACTGTTCTACCAGCAACAGAACCACTTTCATGTGTCTGCTTTTCCTTAACCTCTAAGCAACAACATTTAGAGATGTACTGGAGAAGGCAATATGGGCCCCAGGCAAAGAATACAAAAAGTAATTTCTAACAAATGTTAATTAACGGCTGACAGAGGGTCCAGTGGCTTTCTTCAAGCTTTAAAGCATATAGTAAAAGCTTGGTTTTTGTGAAAATAATGTTCTATGTTGAAATAGGACCATAGACAGTGTTTGTCATAAGTCCTTATGCCACCTGCTTCAGAACTCTCTAGGAGGCTTGCAGATTGCGGGACCACACCCTAGACCCACTTCTGGAAAAGAATCTTGGCAAGTCTCTTAACACACTAAAATTCAAGACATACCAGCCAATGAGCCTTAACTTTTTTCCCAGATTACAACCTTTTTTCCCTCAACTTTTGGCCTACATTACTTAGTCCTTCAAACATTCAAATTAGAAAACTCATTCATTCGTGTAGTAGATATTTATACAGGGCCTGATCTGTGCCAGGTCCCTGTGCTAAGTAACTGGATATGCAAAGACCAATTTAGGAGCTCACAATCTCGTCGTAGTCTAGACAGAACTCAACTGATCTCAGCGTGAGCCTGAGGGAGAGATGATTCAGTTCTTTAATCAGCAGTGAGCCAGACAGACATATATTACAGCAGCCAATTTTCCTTCTTTTAGCTCACAGAGCAAATACCATAATAATGCAAAATGGGCAGCTCAAAATCATTAGTTAACTTTAAACAACTCAATTCAGCAGATGAAAGGAGGTTTAAAGGTTACAGTACCCTGCTCTAAAGGTATCAAAGTTCAGCATGTTATCTGCTCTATCACTTTTTTTAGGATACATGGGGTTGGAAAAGACACTTAAAACTGCAAGAATAGTCATGAAATATTTATTGAACAAATATTTTTGAGCATCTGCTCAGGTACTATTCAAAAGTGAACAAAACAAAGTCTCTGGAAGCAGACGAATCTGGGTTTGAATCCCTGCTTTCTCACTTACCAGACGTATAATCTTGGGCAAACCGCTTAACCAGGAGGTTTAAAGGAGGAAATTGATATGAAGCACTTGGCCCAACATATGGCAACAGCATGTGCTTTTTAAGTTATGTATACTTACTAAGAGTCAGCTTAAATGGTACCTCAACAGCAATGACCTCTACTGACATACAACACTACAACAAATTCTGTATAAACTACAGTTAATATGATTTTTAATACTGAATAGAATTTAAGCCTCTCAGCAGCAGGCTGTGTCTGTTTCGTTCACTGCTGCAGCCCCAACACTTACAACAGCATTGGCACAAATGTTTGGCAAATAAATGAATCAACAAAAAGTAATAAAAGAAAACATAAAAATGATGGAACAAACGTCTGGTAGGGGAGGTGGCATATAACTTTATTTTTGCCTTTAATTATTTTTACCTTATTATAAAAATAAAGTAACTATAGAAAATCAGGAAAACTCAGAAAATATAAAGAAAATTAAAATAACTCATAATTCATCAGCTAAATATAACCAATATTCACTATCTCTAAGTATATATGCATAATCCAACAAATTTGGGGTTGTACTTTATATTCTTTTAAATCGCATTTTGTTTAATATTACATTTGATGAACATTTTTCAAAATATAGTATTCTCTCATATGGCTATAGCATCGTATATAACTTCTCCAATTGTTACATTGTTTCAAATTTTTTGCTATATAAATAACACTGTGGTGAACACTATTTATACAAATCACTGTGAGCATCTCTATTTCTTTAGGATACATTTCTACAAAGAGAATTATATCTTTAGGCTTCCTGATCCACACTGATAAATTGCTCTCCTGCAAAGTTACTAACTCATATTCCTAAAGCACTGAAACACTGTAAGTATTCCTAGCAGCTGCTGAGAAGGAGTAACTTTCTAAACTCAGAAGCAATAAAAAAAAATAAAGGAAAAAGTGAAAGCTACAAAATAAAAATTTTTATACATGGGACATTAATAATATTAAAAACAACAAACAGGAACACACTTGCAGCAAACAATGGGCTGACGAGTTGTATTTCTTCTTTTGTGAATTACCTATTAATAATCTTTGTCCATTTAGGGGAAGAGAATTTTACATATTCCAATCAACCTGCATAAGCTTTTCATATAATGAAGACATGAGAGAATTATCACCTATTGCAGGCCATGAGCAATCAAGTACTATAACGTAACATATTAACCAATCTTCACAACCACTTTTTGAGCTGGAGGTTATTAGCTCAGGGCCAGCCTTCCTCAAAAAAAAAAAAAAAATGGGGCTAATAAAATTATCTTCCACAAGTACTATAAGGTTTGAATGAGATATTAGCTGTAAAGCACTTGGAAAAGGGTCTGGAGAATAATGGTCATATAAGTGTTATCTATAATTATCATTAATATCTATATCATTATATAATAAAATGTATTTTGCATCAACAAACTAAAAACAATAAAATATTAAGAGTAAGAAAAATTCCCACCGCTTATAAGGACTGGGGCTTTACCAAAATGATAGCTTAGATCAAGGATTAGTTTTGTTAACTGTGTGGCTGTTTAAAATAAAAAGTCTTGGGGCCAGCCCCGTGGTTGAGTGGTTAAGTTTGCGTGCTCCACTTCGGCGGCCTAGGGTTTCACCGGTTCAGATCCTAGGTGTGGACATGGCCGCTGGTCAGGCCATGTTGAGGTGGCGTCCCACATGCCACAACTAGAAGGACCCACAACTAAAATACACAACTATGTACTGGGGGGATTTGGGGAGAAAAAGCAACAAGAAAATAATAATAAAATAAAAAGTCTTATCTGTTAGTAACACATACCAAAGTATTTATGGGTAAAAACGATATGATATGTTATCTAGGGTTTGATTCAAACTACTGCAGGAGTTCCAGGAGTTGGGGGAGAAACTAATATGGAAAAAAAATTAGGAGGAAATCTATAGACCTTTATTATAAGAACACCTGCTTACTATAGATTCTGACAAACGAGAGGAAAACAGTGCCTGCTTCTGCATCATACTAACTGCATACAGTGACAGACTAGTAACCCAGATCACTTACTGGCCTCATCACTCAACAATGATCTTTACAAAAAGAATCCAAAGTACTGTACTATAGACAACTATACATTAGAACTATGTTGTCACTATCTGTGAAATACAAACATAACCTAAGGTGGTCTAGGAGAAAAAGAAAAAGAAAAATCAAAGACCCCCAAAACCAAAGCCTAATAGAACACCCCAAATGTGTTCTGTATTTCACATTCCAATTGTTATACATTTCTTAGAAGTTCTGCACCATTTCCCTCCAACGAGTCAGCACCCAAACAAATCTTAATCAGGAAGGACCGTGAGAGAACAATACTTACAAAGTTTTTGAGATGCAAGTTGTATTGACTGACCCCATAGCTTTCGATCTTGATCTTTGAGACTGTCATTGATGAAATGAACTGCAGGTATGGCTTTGTGCTGGGCATGTTTTAGCAGTTTTCCTGCCTTCATACGATCTAGCTCTTGCACAACAACCCAGGGAATTATTAATACAAGTCTGTCAAAGCCTGAAAAATGAAAAGATTTCTTAGAAGTCAACAATACTTATTACTAAATTGAACTGCTGTAGGAGAATTTGAAGTTTTTTAAAGTAAGGAATTCACAACCTAAACAAAGAGATAATACATAAAAAATGAAAATTAAAAATAGATGTAAGTGTCAAAAGAATGTTACAAAAACAAATACTATTCGATATCAAACAAGAGAAGTTTAGATTGCTGGGTTAACCTGTGAAGGCTCTGTTTTTTTTTTTTTTACTTAAGCTGATTATGCTTAATACATATGTGCTTAATAGCATACCGAAATGGAAACATATGTGGGGAAAAAACCCCACATCACTGTTAATATAAAATATCAACTCAAATAAGAAAATCAGAATCAGTAAATGTTTTATAAATACCTGTGATTTCTGTTGTCTTCAAAATTTTAGCAAATTTGAGATGATTCATCAGAATATTTGTATCAATTACAATTAGAAGCTTTTTGTCTGAAGCAGTATTTGCTAGAGAAAAACAGCAAAGTTAGGATTTGATGACACTTCATAATAGAGTTGTAAATAAAATTTCGATATCACAGAACTTTGATAGCATTCTTAAGAGAAGGTAGTCCTTTAGACAACAATAACAAAGGTAAATTTACTCCAATTCTTATTTAAGAACAGTAATCAGTGTTTAATTATCCACTAGTACAATATTATGAATTGCTGAATTTTGACTTCAGCTGCATATGATAAATGGGTGAATTTTCAATCATAAACTAACCCGCCCTAGTAGTAACTATGTTGCCAAACACTGTCCTGCATCACTGGTAATTGTGTGCTTAGGAATTATAAGTTAATTTTAAATATACTCTGAGTAAAATATAATTGAAAAGATAAGTATGCGTAATAGAAAGAAAATGTGATAATACTAGCATTGTTATTTCATAGGGCCAGTGTGAGGGTCAGATAAGTTAATGCACAGGAACCACTTAGTAAACTGAAAAATGCAATGTGAATGTAACATAGCATTACTATTTTTATAAACACAAATTAAGAGAGTATACCAATAGATTTTGGATAATATCTATCATCATCTTCTCCCGTAGTGAGAATGATCACAATTTTATATATAAATAAGAAATCCATGAATAGAAATACCTTTGAGCAATTTGCATTATTTCTGATCAGTGCTTTACATAAATGAAATTGTTAAAAGTTATGATTAAGAGCAAGAATAAAAGACAACTCACAACTCTGATTACCACCCCTTGGCAAAAAGAGAAAGCGAAAAATCTTTCTAACCATCTAATAATGTGAGATATATAAAACAAATGATGATAAGACAAATATTAGACCTTATCGTTGTAGCCAAAAGAAATATACTTTCTTAATTTTTAAGAAAGCACAGGAGATCATGAACATTATCATATGCATATAGAGTATACCAGCAGAGGAATGTACATCATCTTCCACCAAGTCAATTTCCATACTCGTTAACTCTCCAGAAGGTGGAACCACAGGTAAATCCGCACTTTTTCCCACACGCGCAGCATGAAGCTCTTCCACTATCTGCATCTAAATTGTAAGACTCACAGTAAAATAGTTTGAATTATTTAGTCTGCAGATTAACAAGAGAAGAAAGCAATTAACTCACTTAAGACGAGATGATTTGTGGAAATAAAGAAATTTACAGAAATATGGAGACAGCATGGTAAAAGAATACAGATTGTAAACACACACAGGCTTTCTAAAAATAGGTCTTTTCTCATTACTTCTCTAATCTTAGGCAAGCAAGTTATACAACTGCCTTGAGTCTCAGTTTATTCATCTACAAAACAGGAATGTTAAATACCTATTCCCTTTGAGCATTTGTGTGAGGATTAAGTGAGATAATGTGACGCTCTTCTCACCGAGCCTAGTACATAGCAGATCTGCAAAATAACTTAATTCTCATTCCTATTAGCACTTCAAAGTATTTTAGGAGCCAAATATGTTTTTATGTGGATGATGAGTGCTCTTCTTGAGACTTCTAAGATAGTTTATGAACCATCAAAAACTGAAGTCTAGCTCTCAAGACCCTTCTCACTTAGGGGGAGTAGTTCCCTGATGTATTTTGATCCAAAGAAATGAAAATATAATCTGGCTTTAGAGCAAAGGGCAGAGATCTTTCTTCTACCAAGCAGCACTGACCCAGAAGACAGAAAAATACAAAAATTTGAATGCTGTCACAAATAAAAAGCAATCAACATGGTTTTAAAGTCTTCTTTAAATAGAAAACACAAACTATTCTATGAACCTAATTTTAATTTAGGACCAGAGAACATAAAATCCTCTGCAACAACTCTGAGGGTCAATCAGGAGATTCTAGCAGGGAAATGAAGCAACAGGTAAAAATAAATATGCAGCACTCTCATTTTCACTGAACAACATTTTCATGTTATTGCTAATTAGAAAAAGGAGGCGAAAACATGTTAATATCATACTGCATTTTGGCAAGCCTAGGCATAAGCATGCCAAAAGTGTGATAACACTAAATAAAAATCGACATAATTTGTGAGCCATAGGCTGCACGCTCTTCATTCAAAACAGATTAGAGCTTATCAGAAACAAAGGCAAAAAGGTGATCAAGTAAATGTAAATACTTTTCCAAATAGTTTTCCATCACTTCATAAAAACTTATATATTGATTTAAGTAGCGATCACTGTTATTTTTATATCACCAAGGTTTTTATGGTCATTATTTCTAATTAAAATTAGAACTGTTTGACATAATTTCAATAAAAATATTGAAAAAAATAAGTATTTGAGTAACCTCTTGATCTGTATCTTGAATACTTTCAAGGGACACTGAAGAACACGGTGCTTCAAAACTCTGAAACGAAAAGTAATTTTATTAGTTAAGAATGAAGCAGATACCCAGGGTAGGGTTTTCCAGCCTGGGCACTATTGACACTTGGGGTCAGATAATTCTTTGCTTTGGGGGCTGTTCTGCACATTGTAGCATGTTTAGCAGTATCTCTGGCCTCAGCCCACTAGATATCACTAGCACGACCCGCTCCCTCTCCTGACAATCAACAATGTCTCCACGAAGGCAAGTGCCGAATGCCCCCTAAGGGGCAAAACTACCCCCAGATGAGAAACTGCCCCTAGAATAGAAAAGCCTCATTCTGTTAAGTCATGAAAGATGGTAGAAATTCTTTAGGGTTTTCTCATTCATATATGCATTCCTACAAATATTCATATTCTGAGAAAAAAACTATATGCCACTCTAAGAAATAGAAAGAACCAAGGCAAAGGTAAACAGGCTGGCCTTCAGCGGTGGGAAGTTTTCATCCAGAAGTAACTGAGCCATTTCTAAAAGGGACATGACAAAACAACAAAGGGAACTTGAAGATTATAATATGGTTGAGGAGGAAAAGCCAAAAAACGCACAATTGTATTATACGGGGTGGAGCACCAGAGGTTTGTGCTTTATTTCTGGTCTTCCAGCAGAGATTGAAAATCTCTCCACTAACTCCAGTGTCTCACTGGCACTTTTGCTGAGTGGACGAGACCTACCTGACCCTACAAACCAGTAGGGAACTTGGCAAAAGACACTACTAAACCAAATTATCTTCTAAGAATTCTCCAAGTTAACACCAAACTCACATGTATTTTACAGGAGGCTACACATGGTACAAATTACAGACCCTCTTTAAATAAGTGTATCGAATGCTGCTTCATTGGGAATTCAGCTTCCAACCTAACTGCCTAACATCCATCTTCACATGATATAACACTTTATACATTACACACTTAGGCCCATGACAGCTTTTCTATTCCATGACCCTGGATTTCATGATCCCTTCTCCACCTGATTTTCAAGCTCACTAGATCTTTAAGGTTCTCTTCAGCTAAGAAGTGCCAAGCAAGCTAATTAGCAGAATTTCCTGAAGCTCCTGACATTTGAAATCTTTAATTGTCACTTACGTCACTACTACCCTTCACTCTCTTTGACCACAGGCCACTTCCAGTGACTTCAATAAATTTTCTATCACCCCCAAATCCAGAAAAGTTCATGTCAATTGTCCCTGAAAACTTCCTCCTTATCCAAAAAGAAAGTCTTAATGGGTATTTAACTATTTGCCCTCCCCCACCATGCTTAATAAATACATGGAATGGGATGAAGCTTTCCCTAGGGATGACAAAAAGAATACCAATAATGAGGGTAATAATGGTTTTATCTACTGGAGTGGTTCTAAACTGAAAATCTGATTAGACTGCTTCCCTGATTACATTTCAGGGGCCCTGTACCATCTACAGAATACAAGATAGAAAACCAATCTTTCCCATGGGATACGAAGTAATACACTAGCTTCCTCTCTAACTTCTTCTCCTATGGATTCTCCACATATCTCAACTCCAGTCATACTGACCAGCTTAGTGCCCACGCACACTCTTGCCATTCAATTTCACAACTCTGTGCCATTACACACACTGGCCCTCCACCGTGGTGGGACAACACTGCTACTCCTTGCTCTATATACCTTTCAACATCAAGCTTAAGAAGCTCCACATTTGTGAGCCCTCCCTAAACTCATCCCAAAATTTATACTAACACCAACCCAATTCTTAGGGCTCTACTATTTCCTTCACTGTATCACAGAGTATTTGTTTACAAATCTCCCTCCCTGGGAACTTCCTGAGGATAAAGAGCACCTTATTTATCTTTAAGTCCCTAGAACCTAGAAACGTACCTGATACATAATAAGTACATTTAATTAATGTTTGATAAACTGATAGATTTCTACTTCACAGACTTGTAAGGATTAAGTGGGATACTGTTTGTAAAAGTGGCCTATAAGTGACAAATCTCTAGAACATTAATTTGCCATGGTGAGGGAAGGGCGCAAACTCAGAGTGGTCTATATCAAAGGACTACAAGACCTCAGAAACAGAAGAAGTTATTTTCTCTCAGGAAAGTATAACAAGATTTCTAAACCACAGGATTACTAAATCCAGAAAATACAATTATTTCCTTGTAAAGTACAGTCATTATTTCAGGCAGATAATTATCTATTGCGGAATTTGTGAGGAAAATGACAATAAACATAATATTAAGATGATTAGCTACAGTCAATAATATGCTAAAGATAATATATTCAAGAAAGAACAATATTTCCTTACTGCTCCTGTGTCTCAATGACTTTAAGTCAGATAAGACTGCTATTAAAGGCATAGTTTATAAAGAGTATTAATTCCAATAATTGGAAAGTAATCATGTGTGGGGGCCTGGAATTGGCCACCCCAAGATGTCTCTTTGGCATGATGATTATTTGGGGCTGGAAAGCAACTGGTAAGTAGAATTTACTTACCCTTTATAAGAGACATTTACATTGTAAAGGAAATCTCCATCTGTAAAGATATCTCCCTCTCTACCAGGAAGAAGGGGGGGATGACCTTATCTCTAGAAACTCTTAATCAATGGGGAAGGCAAGGACTTAAATCTGCATTTGTTTATTGTGCTTGTCTGGTAACCTCCTGTAACTGACTCCCCCCGCCCCCAACATCCTCCTTTGTCTTCAGCTGGATATGATGTTTGGGGTGGTGGTTCTGGCCATTTTGGCGAGTTGCTCAGCTTGCCTGAGCCTCTCCCATGTATACATTGACAAATAGAAACGGCAAGCCATAGGATATATTGGAGTACATGAGGAAGCCATTCGGTGTAAACCTAATTCAGCCTGACTTTGCTTTTTTCCAAAAGGGCCTGACTGTGGCCATTGAGCACACTCTGTATATCTGCTTTAAAACATTTCCTATGGCAAGAATAAATGGCCTTAAGACAAAGGTGCAACTTCCCCCCCACATTGGCATTTCCTTAAGGATAAGCATCTTTCCTTAGGCTAGGAACTGATTGCTGCACTCACCTTTGAACACCCAGCTCACCTGTGACCACCCAGCTCAAGACAACAGACCTGCCACCCTGCTGTGTTCACCGAGACAGCAGACCTATCTCCTGTTTCCATCAGTCGCTGTGCTGACAGAGCAGTCTCACGACTACTGTAAAAGGGACATTTCAATCCTACGTGAAACATCCTGTTTGGGGGTAAATAACCACTCTGTGCACCCCACTTCTTCGGTACCTTTTCTTCCTTTGGGAAGAAAGGCCCTGGGCCATGGTCCTCAGAATATAAAGCTTTGTTTAATTTTCTCCTGCTGTTCTGTCTCATGTGAACTTAATTAGTTCTCCGGCCAAATGAACCAAGAGAGGGTAGAGGAAATGTCTTCCTGCCCTACACATGCAAAAACTGCTTCCCCTACGACTTAATATTCATGCTATGTACCTCCTTCGGTTTGTGTAGCAATTCACTATAGAGACCAAAGGAACCCAGAAGATGCACTGCAGGGATTTCTCATACTATTCCTGAGGTGTGCACCACAAGAAGAACACAAAGCAATGATACAACGATGTTCACTGAACATACTGGCAACTTCAAGTTCCTTTCTTGCATTTACTCTAGGGAACTAATTATAACACAGGAGAAAACTGGAGCTTTCCTTTAAGAAAGCAATAAAAAGAACAAACTCAATTATTTCTCTCTTTGGACCCTTTAAGTTCACTGAACAAAAAGTGCTCTCTCTCAAGCTCTTCTGGCCTCGCTCCTTATAATCCCTCCATTTTTCATAGGAAGTATCTTATACTGCTATCTATAGTCTTGATTCCTAAAAGCAGGTAGGCTCAACCACCCCTATTTCAAGCAGTCTCTAAATTTCAGAATTTTTGAAGTTTTCAAGTTCTAAAGTTACCAAAGTTCTAAAAGTTTTCTTAAAGGTAAATAATTTGCCATAGAAACAAAGCTATAGAGATTAGTTTCTCAAATTAGTCCACAAAAGCCAATTTATTACATAATTTCAAAGCAAACTAGATGTGCCAAGCTTTCTAGCCTGGATCTCTGTACATGTACAGTCATGTGCAGTCAACAATGGACCGCATATGCTACCGTGGTCCCACAGATTAGTACTGTATAGCATTGCTGTGTAGTATAGGCTATACTATCTAGGTTTGTGCAAGTACGGTGGGAGAGGAAGAAATTTTCCTCTACCCTTCTAGATTCTTCTGGCTGGTAAGAATTAAATTGACATGAGACAGATTAACATGAGAAAAACAAACAAATGCTTAATAACACATATATATGGGAGAAATCTAGGAAAACTGAGTAACTTGCCAAAATGGCTGAAACTCTCACCTTAAATAACATCCTCAGCTAAAGACAAAAGATGTTGGGGATGGGCAGAGTCAGGGACTTCAAAGGGAAGGAAGATAATTTACAAGTAGGTGAAAAGGAGCAAATATTTGGAAAACAAGTGTTGGGCCATACAGAAACAGATGGACACAAAGGGGAGCCCAACAAACAGGCTTGTCTAGGTTCCTCCCTGTCTACCACCTAGTTCATGTTGTGCTAAGGTGATAGCTCACTTCCTGAGACACGTTTTTTACATTCTTTTAGGCAGTTAAGGGGAAGGTAACGTGAAAGACTTCCTGAATCTTTTGTTTCTTAAAAATAATCAACCTAAAGTAATCTCCATATTAAAGAGACACATTTTGGGGTGGTAAATTTTGTTTCCCTTCAGTACACTCTATGATGTTCGCACAATGACAAAATCACCTAACCACACATTTCTCAGAACACATCCCTTCGTTAAGGGTTCATTAACACAGGACTGTAGTTCCCTTTGCCTAGAACATCCCTCCTTCTCCCATTCCACCCACCTCGCCTTCGCCTGAATAACTCCTACGCATTCTTTAGTTCTCAGTTTAAACGTTACCCGCTCCAGTAAACCTTTCTTAACTAATCCCTCCACAGTGTACCAAGGCCATGTTAATCCTCCGCTGTAATCCCATATTAAGTGATAAGTACTTATCAGACTTAGGGTGACAGCTTGCATGTCTCCTCACAGGAATAAGTCTCTGAAAACAAAGACTGTGACTGCAGTGCCTGGCACACAGGGGCACTCCAAAAATAATTTGTTAAAGCTATTCAGGATATTAAGCCCTGGGTGTTCTATAGTACCTGGGGTTACAGAAGAGCCTAAGACACTGGAGCAGTGCTTTTCTGAAAGGACTATCTCTAACTGCGTCTTTCTACATTTTTACACATTCCCTTCTATTACTGATCCTTCATGCTTACCAGGATATCTTCCTAAGGAAGCTGGAGTTAAAAGGGCAAAATAAAGGAACCAATACAAATCTTCCTAACTAAATTTGAATCAGCCCACTACGATCACAATCAGTGAAAGGAACAACTCAAATCTGAGCATACTAAAACTCTTCGCTAAAACCTATATTCTTCATTTTGTACTACTTTACCTGGGTTAGGTTTGCACTAGAACTTGAATCATTACTTTCATGATGCTCACGATGATATTTTCCTTTTGACTCATGAACAGTCTGCTTACACATGGAATCTGAAAATAAACGTTCTCTTGGGTGCCTAGTCAAATTAAAGGACACCCAGCAGCCTTCCAGGCATTCTTTGTTCTCCGGCTTAGTCTTCGATTTGGTAGAATCTACACTGAAGACACTTCCTCCTACAAGCTTCTGGAGAGTATCACAAGATTTTGCTGGGATTTTGAAACTGATCTTCCTTCTTCTAGATTTGAGGGGTTCCTTAATTATCTTGTCGGAACTGTAATCCTGAGAAAATTGGATTCTCTTCCATTTCTCCAAAACACATTTTTCAGAACTGTCTCCAAATTTATTGTACTTTTCTTTCTCGTGTTCTTTCATCTTCCCCCTCTGAGCAAGTAAATGAGCCCATTTTTTTTCATTTGCCTCACCTTCAGCTTTAGGTTTCACATCTTTGGCAATCTCAGGACTGCTAAAGTTTTTATTTCCATGGTCAAGCTTACTCCTAACATTTGTCAATTTACTACCTTTCACTTTAAAATCTACACATTTATTGATATCCTTTTTAGCTCCATTTGAAGAAAAACTCTGGGAAATCATTTGATTATTATTTGAATATGATGCTTCTTGGAGTTTAACGGGTCCTCGGGATGAAAAGCTGATTTTTGGTCTCTTTCGGGCAGTGTCAGTTTCTACATTCAGTCTGTAAAGCAGCACAGAAACCTATGTTACATTATGATTACACACGATTATACATAATGTTGCACTGTATCATTTTAGTTAGGAAATAACATAACTGGACTGACACAAACTTCATAAAAAGTAAGAAATGGCTACATTAAGAATGAAGTAGAGGGGCCAGCCGGGTGGTGTAGTGGTTAAGTTCACACACCTTGCATTAGTGGCCCAGGGTTCAGGGGTTCGGATTCCAGGTGCAGACCTGGCACTGCTCGTCAAGCCAAGCTGTGGCGGCATCCCACATGAAATATAGGAAGACTGGCACAGATGTTAGCTCAGCGACAAATTTCCTCAAGCAAAAAGAGGAGGACTAGCAACAGATGTTAGCCCAGGGCCAATCCTCCTCACCAAAAAAAAAAAGAAGAAGAAGAAGTGGAAAGGATTACTCAACAAATGGGTGTTGCAATAATCAATTCACTATTTGGAAAAAGTCCAAATTTACAGCTTTATATAATACCAGACAGCATAAATTAAAATTAAAAGGACCGGGAATTGGTATTTGTTATAAGTGTGACAGATTATTAGTCTTAGTTAATAAAAATCTCATCAAAAACTACTAAGACTCTAGAATAGGACATCAACAGAAAATTAATGAAAAAGAAAAAGAGAACAGCTAATAAACATTTGGGGAAAAAAGTCTGACTTCTCTAGTAATCACAGACACGCTAATTACAACATACCATTTTCTTCTATCAAATTAGCAAAGATTTTAAAGTAACATTAAATATTGGCAAGAAGTTATAAAATGGACTCTCTCATATGTTCCTGGTGGAAATGCAAAATGATACAACAGTTCCACAAAATAATTTGACAGTATAATTAAGAATTCTAAAAATGTTCATATTCTTTCACTTCTCAGTAATTACCATTTTAGAAATCTATATCAAGGTGAAAAAAATCTGAAATGGACTAAAAAATAAAAAGATATTCAATTCAGGATTACTTATAACAGCAAAAAATCAGGCACAAAGTAAATGCTAAAATTTTGGAAATGACTAAGAAACATATCATTCTATCAAATATGACAGAATACCATAGTCATTTCAAATGACGTTTATAAAAAGATTTCAATAACACAACAAAAAATATTGATATAACATTAAGCAAAAAACAAGCAGGGCACAAATCTGTATACATAATGTGATCTCAACAATTTAAATAAGCATAGTAAAAAGGCCAGAAAGAAATGTGCTAAACTATCAGAAACAGCAATAGCTAGAGGTAGTAATAATATTTTCCTTTTTAAAGTAGATATTACTTTGTAGTCAAAATGAAACACAATACAGTAATTTATATTAATAAACCCTTGCGTGTTCTAAGTGCCTGCCACTCTGGAGAGGCAGCGGAGGACACACCACATAGAGTCCTTACCCACAAGTGGCTTACAGTCCAGCAGGGGAGAAAGAGATGGCAAATAAGTGACTTCCCAAGTAATTAATCATGCAAGAGCAAACTATAAACATCACAGAGTTTTTATAGGAGTTTTACTTGAGTCTTCATCTGGTTTTATTTTCTTTGCTATCTTCCTACAAAAAGACTGCCTATCATTATTTACCTGTTATTAAGTAACAATAAAACAAAACTTCACATTTTAATGGGACCTTGCTTGGCATCTAATAGTATATCATGTAAGATGTCAACTGTATTAAAGAAAAATCAGGAAAACAACAAAGAAAACAACAACTTTAAGAGGACCCTGTAGTTCTCGGAGCATTTCCATATTCCTATTTTATCTGCTCTTCCCAATAGCCCTGGGCTGCATATTTCATAGCAATCTACGCACCATGTTCTGTATGGTCATAAATAATGAAAACTCAACATTACAAGGCCTTTTAAAAGACCAATAAAATTAAATCTTAAAATTACCTCTTATCAGCTAGTTTTGTGAAATGCTATAGTAAGATAATGCAGTTTTATATTTGCAACCCAAAATACTAAAGTTCTGAGATCTTTTTAGACATAAAAGTTAGACATGCAGCAAATACTTTTTTATCAATGACTTAGTGTAAAATCAATATTCAGCTGAAGCTGAATAGCATCATCCTGGATTGAACTCTTACGCCAAAAGAATAAATGTGAAATTTTGTCAAGATCTAATTATAATTAGCTTATTTTAAAATTTAGTAACCATTTTAAAATGTAACATGCTGCACGAACAATAACTTCTCAACATTATCAGCTCCTAGATTGCTCCGTTGCTCATGATAATGCACATTTAGGATACTAAATTACATACTTAATCTCAATTTAGGTCAATTGAAGAATAAAGTACTTTTTAGCTAATTCTGCCAGTAATGGGTACTGCTGATAGCAATACTGTCATCTCTCTAATAGTAACTGAGGCAAAACTTATCTCCTTTTCAACTCCTGGAATTAAAGACTTGGTCAATGGTGAAGATGCAATTTTATCGACAAAATCCCACAAACTGAAAGTGTGCTGCTTCTAGAAAGGCTTTCTGAGTCTTTTCAAAAACAGACTTAAAGTTGTTGCCATTTTTACATTTTATTGCTAATACATCTGTATGTACTTAAACCAGAGATCTGGAATTGTGGTAATGGTACAATGTAACTGGCTTTCAGAATGACAAAATTCTCTCTGATTTTCCATCTGCATCTCAGCTTTTGCTGTTTGCACACCAATTTCGAGGCCTTCCCCGTAGTTGAATATGGAGATTTTTACAGAAGATGCCATATACTATAAATAAATACTTGTAACCTTAAGGCAAATTAGTTTGCTTACTTCTCCAACAAGTAAATAACAGCAAACAAACCACTTTCTCTGCAGGCAATGACTGCTAGAAATCCTGCACTGGTTTTTTTTGTGGGGTGTTTTTTTGGTGAGGAAGATTGGCCCTGAGCTAACATCTGTTGCCAATCTTCCTCTTTGCTTGAGGAGGATTGTCACTGAGCTAACATCTGTGCTAATCTTCCTCTATTTCATGTGGGATGCTGCCACAGCATGGCTTGACAAGCGGTGCTCGATTGTCTGGAGATCCAAACCTGCGAACTGTGGGCCCCCAAAGCGGAGTGTGCGAACTTAACCACTATGCCCCAGACCAGCCCCCTGCACTGTTGATATTAATGCCTGCAAAAGCACAGTATTACAGCTTTCTTTCATCCAAGTAACCTTTTAAATATGTAATAGCTCCTATAACATATTGTTTAAGTACATGACAAGGAAGTTCTAAAATATGTTGTATGCCAAATAGTTTGTCTTTGTTTATTTACTTATTTATTTATTTTTGAGGAAGATTAGCCCTGAGCTAACATCTGCTGCCAATCCTCCTCTTTTTGGGGAGGAAGACTGGCCCTGAGCTAACATCCATGCTCATCTTCCTCTACTTTATATGTGGGACACCTGCCACAGCATGGCTTGGTTAAGTGGTGCCATGGCCACACCCAGGATCCAAACCGGTAAACCCCAGGCTGCCAAAGTGGAACGTGTGCACTTAACCGCTGCGCCACCAGGCCAGCCCCAGTTTGTCTTTGACAAAAGAACATTTCACTACAAGTTACACCTAGAGTGCTTGCCAATATTTGCAAGTGAATATTCAGATATTAACAATGAATCCAAATGCCATGCCTTGCTCACATTATTGACATTGTTACCCTGATTAGATATGATGATAACCCACACAATGGCATGGTCACTGATCACATGTGGGTTCCAGGATGCAGAAATGTTGTTGAAGTAGGCATTCAACTATTCAGCATTGCAAAGGCTGAAGCCCAATAGCGGTTTTTGAGTAAATTCATGAATCCTTAGAATAATTTAAATGCTAATCCCAAAATAATTCAACAACATTATTTCTTCCTCCTCCCAAGATTATGTGACCAAGTCTAAGGGGGCAATATACAGATCAGAAGTCTGTTTACGCTCTTATACATGGATATAAAATCAAGGGCTAGAAAATGTGCCCTTAAGCAAATCAAACAGTGTTTTAGAACTCAAAAGAAAAGAAAAAAAGTATACTAGTACAAAAGGCATTAAAAACCCAGTCCAAAAAATTCAGAAAGTGATAGCATAACACGATATTTGTGACAGAACATACTTCCATAGATAACAACACAGAAGCAAAGTATCACAAAAACTAGGAGGAGATGATCCAAAAGAAAAGCTGAAGAAGAGTCAGAGACAAGCTGGATTTGTTGTTTTTAGCAAACATAACTGAGCTTGTCTGGAAAGCAGAACGTTTATTTCTATACTTAATGCCATTTTACTTGTTTTCCCATAACTCCCTATTTTCAGAGAAACCTTGATATTATCAACTTTGATCACGCATTATACTTTTTCTATTTACCCCCATTAGTGGCAAGAAATTCCTTTACCACAAAATTCTCTGAAATTTTTATCCAAAGAATGCAGAAGTTAAAGATCAATAATCTCCAATATTCTCCTATCCCCCAAGTTCTTTAGTTGTAGCCACACTCAGTTTAATTCACATGGTTTTAAAGCCATTTCAATTCAATAAGCTATATAGTCTCTTCATGGGTGATATGTAAAAATAATTTATCCAAAATTTCTAAATCAGCCTCATGACTTTTTCCATAACTATATGTAATGAAGTGACAAATAAAAATGGCAAGCAATAGGATTTATTGGAGAATATGAGGAAGCCATTTGGTGTAAACCTAATTCGGCCTGACCTTGTCTTTCCAAAAGGGCCTGACCGTGGCCGTTGAGCATGCGTTGTATATCTGCTTTAGATATTCCCTATGGCAAGAACAAAGGCCCTTGAGATAAAGGTGCAACTTTCCTCCCCCTCCCAACGTTGGCATTCCCTTAAGGATTAAGCACCTCTCCTTAGGCTAGAAACTGACTGCTGTCCTCACCTGTGACCACCCAGCTCGAGACAATAGACTTGCCTCCTGCTACGCCCTCCGAGACAGCAGACCCACTACCTGCTGTGTCCATCAAGCACTGTGCCGACAGGGCAATCTTGTGACTACTGTGGGAGGGACATTTCAATCATATGTAAAGCATCCTCTTTGGGGGTATATAACCACTCTGTGTACCTCACTTCTTTGGTGCCCTTTCTTCCTTCAGGAAGAAAGGCCCTGGGCCATGGTTCTCAGATTTCAGCTCAGAATAAACTCTCCCAAATTTTCATTTATAGATTGGTTATGGATTATTTTCGTCGACAGAAGTTATGTATCTTCTAAAAATGTGTCAAAATCAAATCACTTTGAAATAAAATTTACATTTTTTTCTAAGTATCATTTACACAGTATAGAATTCTGATAGACTTTTTATTTCAGCCAACTCTTCCTTGAATTTATACTAATATTAAGAAAATTCAATAATCATAATCTGTAATAGACCCAGAAATATCTGCATGTGAAACAGTACTAATCAAAGTAAATAAAGGATTTTGCGAATCTAAACATTTAGTCTCACAATTCTATGCCAAAAAAGTAAAAAGATATCAAGAAAAATGGGAAATTTACCTGTTCAGTTCTTGTCTTCTTTTTACATTACAATACAGAATGTCTGTATGATCTGATTTCTAAAAGAAAAAATGTACCATTTAGGAAATATAAATTATACACTGGTATTGTAGTTACAGGGGAGGAGATTGGGAGATAATATTTCTTTCCATATCTATATGTTAGTGAATAGGCTGACACAGTAACTTCCTCAATCCTCCCAATAATCTTGTGAGACAAATATTATCATCCCCATTTTACAGATAAAGTACCCAAGGCTTAATCAGAGCAAAGCATCTTCCTCACGTCACAGAGCAAGTCAATAGCAGAGCCACGATGTGAAACCAGATCTGTCTACTCTCTCTACTCTCTCACCCCGTCTCTCTATGCACTCTGGGAATACCGGGCTAGGCATAAGAAAAATAAGAGAGAAACAGGATATAGTCTCTGCCCAAAAGAGCTCAGAGCAAAGTAAAAGAATAAAGTAGAGAGCAGTAGAAGGATGCGTACAAATAATGTAAGGACATAACTACGGGTCAAAGCAGAAGAATAGATAATAAGTTGTAGAGTTCAAAACATCCATCATGCAAATTTGGAATATACCGAGGAAAAATGGTGAGCAAAATATATGCTAAAGATTGAATACAAATGGAATAAAGACTAATGGATAAAATAAAAAGGCATTCTCAGCTAAGAATGTTTAAGAATTCTAAGAAGCTGGAGATGACTGGCATAAATTCAGCAGAAAGAAAATAAACCAGCCTAGCTAGAAGCAGAAGGACTGCTTTGAGGAAGAAGAAAAAAGAAAACTGTAGAGTTAAGGTATGACCAAATGTAAGAGGCGCGAAGGACAAACTAAAAAGTGACTGAAGATTTCTCAACAGAGGAGAAATATGATGAAATCAGTGTTTTAAGGAGGTTAATATACCACCAATAAATTGAAACAGCAGTTTCATTATATGAAAACAAACAACTTCTTAAAAACATAATTCTGTATTCATAGAACTTTCACAACTACTCTCTCTTATTACCCACAACAACTATGTGGCTATCCCAATACACACCTAACTTCAACTTGAACGTGGAAGTACTTCACCAGCCACCCACGCACTAGCTTCATGTGTTCAGTCTGCTGCCACTGTTTCTAATTATTTGAATGACAGTGGAAAGAACTCTGGACTTGGCCCTGTTGCTGTAAACAATTTCGTGTCCTTGGACAAGTCACAACCTTCTGAATCTCAATTTCTGAATCTGAAAATGCAAACACTATATCCGCCTTGGCTACCTCAAACGGAAATTGTAAAGACAAATATAACCAGATGTGAGAAAAGACTTAAAAACTGCCTAAATTTATATCCACGTCGTCTAATCCCACATGATGGGGTCTATCAGTACAATGCAATAAAGAACTTGATAAATGCTTTGTGCTGAGGAGAAGGAAGAAAAAACAAAACACTAGTTTTCCTTCTATTGGCTACAATAAGATATAAAGAAAAAGTTAATATAAAAGTAGTGGCACAATTTATAGTATCATAAGCCTTCCAACTGTATATTAAACTTTAATATGAATAATTTTGAGAGTTACAGTATCTAAGCTACTCACCAGTTTTCTCTTCTCTGATGAAACAGATCTTACAGAGCAAGCTGAACCAGCAGAACTCGCCGAGTTTTTTTTCTCTTTCTTATCCTGAGAAAGCCATTTGGAAAAAAGGAAAGAAAAGCACAAGATAAAGCACAGTGTAAGACAGCATCATTTCATCACTGTCATTATAAATCAACATTCCTTCTACTTAATAAGAAACTTCAGAGGGAAAGAATGTTTCAAAGCACACAAAATTTGGTAAGAGGAAGAGAAACTCAACCAGAAGGGAATCTCAACTAAAAATCGGAAGATACAGGTACTCTTGAATCAGAGATGAGACGGGATCCAGGTGTTACAGCAGAGGCCAGTAGACAGCTCAGATAAGGGAGTGGCACTGCCATGGTGGGATTCAGCCTTCTACAAAGCAAACCCACGTTATCTACTTCTTTTTCAATGGATCCTGAATTCAAGAGAGCCAGGACAAACATATTCTGACTACCAAGCATGTACCAAAGACATTCTAGACGGTGGGGACAGATTAACGAAAAAACAATAAAAGTCCCTGCCCTCGTGGAGGTTACAATCTAGGGCAGGAATTTACAAATAAACAAGTAATACACTTAGTGTGTCAGATGATGCTATGGAAAAAAATAAAGCAGAGAAAGGGTCAGGAAGGGCTGGGAGGTGGAGGCGGAGGCAGTTGCAACTTTAAACACAGTCAGAAAAGGCCCCACTGATAAGTTCACAGGAGAATGGGGGATAAGAGCAAGGGCAAAGGCCCTGAGGCAGGAATGTGCCTGGCTTTTGGAACAGCAAGGAAGCCATGGAGTGGAGAAAGCAAGGAGAGAACGAGAGGGAGATGAGATGGAGAGAGCAAGTCGCTTTGTTAGCCCCTGCAAAGAACTTAGCTTTTACCCTGGATGACGTGGAAAACCACTAGAAAGTACTGAACAGGGGGGTGACATAAACTGACTTACACTTTAATAGGATCACTCCAGCTGCTGTGTTGAGAAGTGAACAGAGGAGGCAAAGGCAGAAGCAGGGAGATCAATTTAGACACTACTGGAATAATCTAGAAGAGCAAGCGATGGCCTAGATCACAGTGATAGCGGTAGAGGAGGCAATCAGACTCTGAATATATTATTAAGAGAAAGCTGATGGAATTTGCTGATAGACTTGATGCAAGGACAGCATGAGGACAAGGGTTTTGGCCCAAGCAACTGAAAGAACAAAACTGCAATTTACTAAACTGGGAAAACTGTGGCAGGCATCCCACATATAAAGTGGAGAAAGATGGACACGGATGTTAGCTCAGGGCCAGTCTTCCTCAGCAAAAAGAAGAGGATTGGCAGTGGATGTTAGCTCAGGGCTAATTTTCCTAAAAAAAAAAAACAAGAAAAGCAGAAAAAAAATATGGGAGCCTGGAGGGCTGCTGGGAGGAGAGGGGAGCAGCAAGTTAAATGACACTCCCACCAAGACACAGCCCTTTGCCCTCTTGTCAGTCCCCACGTGGGGCTGCGGCCTTCAGGAAGGACTTCTCCTAGCTCCGCTGGTCTCAGTTCAGCAACTCCCAGGTTCCCTTCCCTCCTTCCCCTCCCCCTTCTCTACCTCCCCTCCCCCTCTCCTCTCTAGCCCCCTCCTCTCTCCTTCTGTTTGCTGGGTGCTTCACCCCAGCCACCAGCCACGGGGCTGTTCTTTCCCACAAAGATCTGCCCTCTGCTTTTTTAAGAAAAAAAAAGAAGATGAGGAGGAACCAGCAAAGACCACTTCGAAGAAGTCACCAACGAGGAGGAAAATAAGGAGAGTATGGTGTCTCAAAAAGCCAAGGAAAGAAAGTGTTTCAAGGAGAAGGTGAATCAGCCATGTCAAATACTGCTGACGGGTCAAGACAGACGGAGTCTGAAAACTGACCAAGGGATTTAGCAACGTGGAAACCACCGGTGGCCGTGATGAAAGCAAATTTGGAGGAACAACGGCAAGAGGGAATCTGATTCAAGTAGGTGAAGAGAGAATAGGAGGAGAACTACAAAGAAAATGCCAATTATCAGTGTCACATAGGGGATAGATAAATCAAGGACACCAGAGGACTGTCTGGCCACGTTCCAGGGGCCCTTTTCCAATTATTTCTGTACCTAGGAGGCCAAATAAGTAATCAGGAAGTTAGTAAGCAAGGGAAAAACACCAAAAAGTTTAATGATCTTTGGGATACTGCATCCAGGTGATGAAAAAGCCTATGAACTACCAGAGAAATCACTTACATAGCGAATATTCACCTTTGCCAGATTTTACTCTCCCATCTTAGATGGCATTACAGCATAAACATCGTCTAATTCTGATGATGCACTATGCAGACTATTCAGAGAGTTTATAATAAAAAACTGATGGCAGGGTTTTTGGTTTGCTTGCTTTGGTTACATCAATCACATTTCAGTCTTGCTTCCTGGAGACAACACCCAGCTCAATTACTTAGACATTCTAAATTTCATCTACCAAAACACTTCTAAGGCAGAGTGCTGACAGTAGCAGAGAAAGGAACATGTGAGCACACCTTCCCTACCCTTAGCCTCCCCTACACAGGGCAGCCAGTTCTGACTGATTAGCACATAATCCTATCCAAGGCGGAGAGAATGGAGAAGGAAGAAGATGTGCAAAATGGTCTCCTGGTGAGTTATTTCTATGAAAATGAGGATTTGGGGCATAGAATTGAAGTCAGGAATGCCGAGGCAAATTACTTACCTCTCTAAGCCTCAGTTTGTTCATTCATGCAAATGGGTTATTAACAGTACCTACCTCGCAGAGTTGTGAGGAATAAATAAAATAATGCAAAGAAAGAATGGGAAAAACAGATGACTTCTCCTTGGTCAGAAGGGCAGAACAAAATGTTTACATATCTCATTTTAAGACTGAGGTGTATTTTTTCATTACACAAAAATAAACTGTAAAAAAGGGTATCTTTGGGTCAGTAAATCAAAATTCTTACTTCTTCATCAAAGTTGGGTGATGAGGTGGTGCCTCTTCTCTGAGACTTGTCTTTTTTTCCACAAGATTCTTTGTTGGACATTTTGAAAAGCTAAAACAAACATTAAAAAAAAACAAAAAAAATTAGAAATTATTCTTTTGGTTATATTAAGATTGGAGTTTTATAAAATGATTTCCATTTGCTAACCATTCCCAAGGTGACAGGATTCTCTGATCGTTCCACTTTACTTATATTCTCTCTCATAGACATTTTTCCCTCTCCGTCAGCTTCATCTACCACCTTTCTAGGAATGACTTTCAAACTATGCCTTTAGCCCTGACTTCTCTCTAAGCACCACATCACCTTTTCAGCTGCCTGCAGGACTGCAGTATTTTGCCCCACCTACACCCCAAGACCAATTAGTCATGAGTCTTTATTTTCCTGACACACCCTCTGTCACTCACTGGGTAAGACTTCCAGCAAGTCATAATCATTTTTTGAGTCCCAGTTTCATTATATGTAAAATAGCAGTAACCCATCCCAGAGGGTTTTTGAGGGACTCAAATAAAACAATGGATGTAAAAAATACTCTGCACAGGGTAGTATACAGTAGGAACTAAATAACTACTGGCTTACATGGTTGTTTTTCTACTAAATGCTGAGCTCCTTGAGGAGTATGCTGTATTAAAAACTTAGGAGGTGCTCATAAATGTCTCAGCAGGCATTTATGAGTGAATGAGTGAACTTTTCTTCCTCAGAACAATCTTCATTCTTTCATTGTGGGCCACTTCCAACTCTTGCCCATTGCATTTCCTCCTTCCACTTCCCATCCTAGTCTCACTTTTCCAGCCCTGCTCTGGATCCAAGTCAATACTGTTAGCGGCTGACCAAAAAAACCCCAGTAAGACAACACTGGTATCCCTTATAGTCATAAACATTCTCAAGTTAGTGTGCACCAGAAGCATCCTGTGTTGAAACATACAGGCCAGACACTGGGAACACCACTAGGTCTGCGGGGCAGGAAGATAAAAAAGGGGTCTAGGGGGGCTGGTGCAGTGGTGCAGTGGTTAAGTGTGCACATTCTGCTTCAGTGGCCTGGGATTCACTGGTTCGGATCCCAGGAGCAGACCAACACACTGCTTGTCAAGCCATGCTGTGGCAGGCGTCCCACATATAAAGCAGAGGAAGATGGGCACGGATGTCAGCTCAGGGCCAGCCTTCCTTAACAAAAAAGAGGAGGATTGGGGGCGGATGTTAGCTCAGGGCTAATCTTCCTCAATAACAACAACAACAAAAAACCTCAATGAAGAAAACAAAGGAGGTCTAGGGGCCAGCCCAGCAGCATAGTGGTTAAGTTCGCGCACTCCACTTCGGTAGCCCGGGATTCTCAGGTTTGGATCCTGGGTGCAGACCTACACACCACTCATTAAGCCATGCTGCACAGCATCCCACATACAAAGTAGAGGAGGATTGGCACAGATGTTAGTTCAGCAGCAATCTTCCTCAAGCAAAAAGAGGAAGATTGGAAACAGAAGTTAGCTCAGGGTCAATCTTCCTCACCAAAAAGAAAGGAGGGGTCTAAAAGCAAAACTCAAAGGAGAATTTAATGCTGGTAGTGACACGTATTGAGACTATGAACATAACAATGGCCAGAAACCAAGCAATTGCAATTACTCCTGGTCAATCATGATCACACTAAGTGCAGTTCTATAACAGAATGACCCATTATATGAAATCAAGCTCTTACAATACTTTGATGACTATGAAGGGAAAGAAGACAAATGCTGATAGCTAACAGAAAAGCTAATAATAATACAAATCAGTAAAAGAATATTCAACATAGACTTCTCAAATCAGATTCTAAATTGCCCAGAAATTTTGCTTTGTAAGACAGTTCATGGCAATCACTGAATTCACAGTTGAGTTTTCAGATTAGAGTAATAATCTCCTTTTCCTTTTCTTGTTCCCAGGATTCCATTCCGTGGGAAAAACAGGTATAATAAAAAACAATAACTTCCATGAAATGAATTTAGATGCAATGGATTGGTTATAATGTTACCTTTTACAATTTAAACTGATCCCTGTTGGTCTGATTACAAAATTACACACTAATTTAAACCTTTTCACCACAAGACAAATTGAAAAAATACTGCAGATAGTGGACTATTGAAGGAAAAACACCTATATGTTCACAATGACAAATGCTTTATATTTGTTTGCTGCCGAGACCAGCTAGGCATCGAGCCGAAGGAGTGGACAGAATTAATAGACAGAACACAATCTATATATTCAATGGGACAGGGGACCATCAGCCTCAATAACTGAGGTGAGGTCCCTCTGATGGCCACGTATTTATTTGTGGGTAAAGAATCACAAGCATGTACAATACCAGGAACTCATGCCTGCAGGGACACTCAAGCCAAAGCCCACAGGTCCTATCCTTCATCCCTCTGAAGCACACCAGCCCTATCCCAGGTCAGTCCCTTGGGGAGTATCTTAAAATCAATCAGCAAGGTATGCCGGCGGCATTCGGTTCCTGCAAGGGCTCAGCGTTCCCAAGCCCCTTGCCTTCATGCTCAATAACATACACCCCTCCGGCCTTGAATCCCAAAGCACAAACAATCTGGTATAATAATTATAAGAGTCAGCAGATCACATATCTCCCAGCCACCCATTCGGAATTTATTTTTCCTAGGCTTAAAGCCTAGCAAGAATGCTGCTATGATCTCCTGCAGCATTTCCCCCTTTTTGTTTTTGTAAGAAGAGGTAAGCAGTCTGGGCAGTTTCTCTCTTAGCCAGTTCTCAGAAGGTTTTTCTCGTGCATCTGAGGACCAAGCAGAAAATAATGAAAAAAATACATCCTGATATAACAGTTCCAATAAGGCTACCGTCAATGGTTTTTATCCAATCAGTAGGAAATATCTTTGACAAGCCAGTATGTATACCATCAAATAGTTCAGATTCAGATAGCAAAGATAATTTAGCATCTTGCATATGTTTTACTTTAGCTTGCAATAAATCTATATCTAATGTGAGATTGTCCTTGAGGTGGCCCTTTACATGCCGCCTAATAGTGCTCCAGGCATGCTTGCTATCATTATAAGGATGTGGTGTGATACAGAGCTCAGTAACATTCCAATCACATTGCAGTCTGACTAGCTTTTTTAAGTTATGTACTTCATCTCCCAACATTAATACAGCATTTTCCAGATCCACTAGCTGTTCATTGACTCTCTGATCAATTCTTGTCTGACTGTTCCATGCTTCACAGGCATTTTTATGCCACTGTTGAACAAAGGTAGTGGTTTGAATTGTTTGATGCAGTGCCACCCCAGCAATGGCAGCAGTGGATGCTATTGCTATAAGGCCTAATATAGCAGCAATCAATAATCCTATGAATCTTTCTGATCTTTTTAAGATTTTTCTGAATTAGTTGAAGTAAGGCGTGGGTATCAGGAGATCCTTCCCACGGCCTATTTTGATTTACTGGAAGCCAAACGCCCAAATGTCGCCTCAATAGCATATATGAGTGAGAATCATTGTATAAGGAGCTATTGAGATAAGCGTATAATTTGCAATCCTTACAATCCACAGTTTTAGCTGTTTTATTAATAGATACCGTAACTACGGCCAATACATATGGATCTCCGACACAGGCTTTGATGTAAAAAGTCCAACTGGCAGACATGTTGAAAGATAATTTTGTGTTCTCATAGTTTCCATCCCAAATTCTGAATCGCCTTAGACTGAAGGCTAGTTTCCATAAGTCAATCTGTGGTCTACCCTTACTAAATTGAGGTTGTGGAGGACAAAATCCTTCCCCGTGCCATAAAATGGGATATTCACTATGTGTTGTAATAGTAGTGTGATTATACCCTGAAATTTGCCACCTTAACTTTTTATAGGGACTGCAGGCGGAGTCTGTATGGGAGCAATTTGAGACTGCATACCCCCTGGGGAACCAGTCACACACTGTTCCATAGGAACCATTAATCAAAATTGCCCCCTCCGTCCCGCGACAAACATCCCAATGTATTCGATCAATTTTATCCACCCATAATCTTCGGCTAGCACATAATGGACGATTTGGAGCTGTAAGATTGTTTTGGGGGGCAACGGAATAGTGACAACTGTAGCCTGGTAACATATGTAATTGTGCTTGGCTATGATTTCTATTGAGTATGTAAGTAGATAGCCAAGCCTGGGTAGTGAAATTTAAACAGCCTATTCCCCTTCCTATACAAACAGGCCAAGGGTCAAAACCAAAATTAGTTATGTCATATGGGGTAGCTTCTTCCTTTCCAAATATAGGTAGATGGACATCCTCGGGCCCCAAGACCCGGGATGAATCATTAACATATACAGGGACAGAATTTTATCCCCAGTTTAATTTTATAATCTCAAAGTTTATTGGAAACCTATATTCCAGAGTGTCAGAGTCCTTTCCATGAATTTCTCAGGAGATGAAACATATTTGCAAAAACATTAAAGTAAAACAGCAACTCTCTGCAAATAACAAAACATTCAAAAATGGTAACTGACAAAGACATTTGACCATGTCTGTGATATATAACATTTTGAGATACTAACCAGAATTATTTTGAGATAACCACAATTATGGCTGACAATCAGATCAGATAATTTTTAAAATCCTTATATCAATAACACTCATTTACATAATACCATTTAAGAAAGTTTATCATTATTTATTTGACAATGCTTCTCATGTAATTTAACATACAAAATAAGCCTTATTAGTTTAGCATTTTTCTTATAGAAAGAGAGCAAATTTCTCTGAGAAGTCCCAGGGGCCCTCTGAAAATCCCCAGAGAAACCTTCCCTCCTCTTCCAAGTCAAAAGAAAGCTTTTATTCAGGACTTGAATATTTGTGTGTGGGGGGAAGCTTGTCAAAAATATTAAAAGCTTTAAAACATTTGTTCAGATGGGAAACAAAGTTTACTGCGAAACCATGTTCAGGTATCTATTCAAAGTGACAACAGAAACAGTCAAGGGGAAACAGTTAAAATAGTCAAAAAAAAGCCTCTTTATAATCTTTTTATTAAGAGCAGATTAAAAGTTTAGGAAAATTATCTTTTAAGAAAGAGGAAACCAAGTTTTAATTTTGTACCAGTTTACTTTTGACATATAAATTTATTTACTTAATTGGATTTATTTTAATCTTAGCCAACTTGACCATACATAAAACTCTTTAGGGCTTTATTTTTACAAAGCTTTGGTTATTTTGTTTACATTTAGAATTTGTCCCAGCACTTTAGGACAAATTTATCTTTTTCAACTCAAGAAACAAAAATATTTCCATTCTTTATATTTCTTTTTTATTGAAAACATATATTTTATTTTCCTTGTATACAGACCTTTTAGAAATATATGTTTTCTCATAGAAAATTCCTCAGCATACATAAAACATGTTTATCAATAAATCTAAGCACTTCTCAGTCTCTTTGATATAAGAAACTAAAAGCCAACAAATATATGCTTAGTAGTTAACCTTTAATATTTTATCTTACATAGAAATGACCTAGATACCCAATAAACTGTTATTATTTAACTTAACTTAGTAAAGCTATAAAGTTTAAGTTTCCAAAAAGATTTTGGAAGCTGTTTTCTTAAGTATGCAGACTATAAAACATAATTATTGTACTTAAAACTCTTATCCAGTTTTAACAATTTCTTTTAAAAACTTCATGTGACATTACAGCAGTTAACTATCATCCTCAGTTGTTTTAAGTACATATATCATAATATAATTACTATACATATAATTATTGTCAAAAAGTTTTTCCAAAAACTTTTATTTTTTTCACATTTGTTTAGTTTACCTGTTCTTAATAATTATATTTAGATCATCTACAAAAACTCCACGAGACATTAAACAAAATTAGCTATTATACTGAGTTATTAGTTTTGCGGATAAATTTTGCAACAGAGATGACATGAGCTCATTTGACCAGTAAACCCAGGCTGTACATGTGCATCATAGCCAATGCTGATAACTTTGAGGACATGTTTATTTTAAATGAAACCAGCAAACTTAAACAGGCTTTCATTCATCAAAGATCACTTTACATCATGTTAAATAACTTTGTCTCTTAGAAGTTTTTGCATATTCATTAAAGACTGCATTCCATTATGGGAGATTTCGAATCCTCTTCTGAAACAGGTTTTCAGAATGGCAATTACAACTCTAAATTATCTCAAAAGTTTACTTATTTTTACTTGTTCGATTTTAGATCAGGAATTTTGGGGGAGTTGAAGCTCAGCTCAGCTTGCTGGGAAGCTCAGCAAGAGAGTAGACAAAAGCAGCAGATTTGGGTTCGGCCACTGGCATGTTTAATTATTTAATGATTTTCTCTTAAAGAGGCAGTAAAGTATTTCTAATTTTATTTAGAAGCCTCAAAAGATTAAAACAGGCTCCATGTTGTTGCAGCTGGCTTTTCCAGTTGCATACATCAGTTCGGGTGAACTGAAATTGGCCCGCTAAAGTATATCAATTTTTACAAAACTTTATCTTACTAACTCTTATACTTTTAATTAGAACTTACATTTAGAATTCCATTAACAAGTTTTGGTATTACAATATTGTTCTGTACTTTCAAAATTACCCATTTACTCTGTTAAAATCCCTGGAAACACTTACCCCAACGGGAGATCTTCAGAGGCCTCTATCCACACTGCTTCCGGGTCCCGCACCGCTGAAGTTCCACTTTTGCTCTTGGCGATGTTTCCTTCATGCCCCACATTGGGTGCCACCTGCTGCCGAGACCGGCTAGGCAGTGAGCCGAAGGAGTGGACGGAATTAATAGACAGAACACAATCTATATATTCAATGGGACAGGGGACCATCAGCCTCAACGACTGAGGTGAGGTCCCTCTGATCGCCATGTATTTATTTGTGGGTAAAGAATCACAAGCATGTACAATACCAGGAACTCATGCCTGCAGGGACACTCAAGCCAAAGCCCAAAGGTCCTATCCTTCGTCCCTTCGAAGCACACCAGCCCTATCCCAGTTCATTCCCTTGGGGAGTATCTTAAGAACAATTAGCAAGGTATGCCGGCGGCATTCCGTTGCTGCAAGGGCCCGGCGTTCCCAAGCCCCTTGCCTTCATGCTCGATAACATACTCCCCTCCGGCCTTGGATTCCAAAGCACAAACAATCTGGTATAATAATTATGAGAGTCAGCAGATTACATATCCCCCCAGCCACCCATTTGGAATTTATTTTTCCTAGGCTTAAAGCCTAGCAAGAATGTTGCTGTGATCTCCTGTAGCATATGTTAGTGTGAAATTCATATTGATTTTATGAAAACCAAAATATAAACTAAATGCAAGGAGACTTCCTGTGCTGGCCAGGCTCCAGAATTGCTCCCAGTGATGTCAGCTGCCTGGCAATTACACTCTTACGTAATCCCCTCTCACAATAAACAGGGCTGACCTGTGTAACCAATAGGATACTGCTATCTGGTGTATGTGGCGAGGTACCATAAGACACTGTGGCTTCTGCCTTTCTCTGTCTTGAACTGTTCACTCTAGAGAAAGACAGCCACCATGTCACCGGACATTCAAGTAGGCCATGGAGAGGCCCCCAGGGAAGAACTGAGGCCTCTTGCCAAGAAAGAATTGTCAGGCACATGAGTAAGTCACCTTTGAAACCGACCCTGCAGCCCTAATCAGGCCTTCACATGGCAGCATCCCTGGCAGGTATCTTCTCTGCAACCTCATGAGACAATCGGAGCTAGATACCCAGAAAGCTGTTTCTGAATTCCTGACCCATAGAAACTCTGGGTAATAAACGTTAATTGCTGTTTTAATTAATTAGTTTAATAACTGTTTTAATTCAGTTTTAGGATAACTTGCAATAGATGAGTAATACACTCACTTAAGATTCTTCAAACTTTGAAGATTCCTTCTTTAGACCCTTCAAGAGCAGCAGCCATGCTTAGAAATTCTTACTAAAACTCCCATAGAATGCATACACTAAAATCTAACTCTTTTCATCTTCTAGTTTCCAGCTGGTATTAAATGATGAGATTGACATACTGAATCAAGCTTTCAATTAACCGTCTAGTCTTTTGGAAAAAAAAGAAAAATCAATGATTCTTCAGTAAATATAGCCACCACTCATTTCTATAAATTATGTTATCCTTTTTTTTTTTTTTTTTTTTGCTGAGGAAGATTTGCCCTAAGCTAACATCTGCTGTCAATCTTTTTTTTTTTTTCCTTTTTGTATGTGAGCCACCACCACAGCATGGCCACTGACATGATGTAGGTCCATACCCAGGAACAGAACCAGGTCACCAAAGCGGGGAGCATGGGAACTCAGCCACTATATACCACTGGGGCTGGCCCTCCCATTTTTAACTGACTCTTAACCACTGAGGCAGCTACAGATTCAGGAATGCTAGTAAAAGTTGGGGGTGGGGGCACTAAGAAGGCTTTAGAACTATAACTCACAAGAGCTTCCAGGTTCTATAAACTATGTTTATATTAAAGTGGGGAGGAGGGGAAAAAACCCTCCAGACATACTTCCTAACTTCTGAGGAGCGCGTGAAGGACTAAATTCCTGCTAGAGTTTCAAAGCGCCCAAGAATCACACCCGCTCTCCCGCGGGTTCTCAAACAAGTGCGAAATAAACAGACCAATGAGATAAGCATTAAGCATCAGCTTTATTAATTGGGAAAACCGAACTGGAAGTGTGATTTTTCACCCTGAAACTAAAAGGGGCTTCCCTCTCCTTCCCTGCTCCCTATAAGCTGCAGACCAGTCCCAGGCAGAGCAGCCAGAAAACTCAAGTTTCCCTCTGTCTGCCCCAGTGGGCTAGAACTGGCGAGGCTTGAGCTCGAGCAGGCCCAGGGAGCAAGGCAAGGGAAACACAGCGGCCAGGGGACACGGGCGTCCGCCTAGGGCATCCGAATCGCATCAACCAAGCGCTCCGAAGCTCCACACACTCAGAGCTCGGGTTACTAAAAGCCTAAAGACAAGCCTAGGGCGCGCGCGCGCGCGCACACACACACACACACACACACACACAAAATAATAATCCCTATCCACAGGACGCTTACGACCACAGCGCAGCGCTGATCCTGGGAATACGTAGCTTAAAGCAAAAATAAAAACAAAGGAAAAAAGAACGTTCAGGTCACGATGTGGATGAGGGTGGGAAATAAAGGGCACACCTCAACTCCCGGTCAACAGACTGGCAGGCAAGCTAATGGGTGGCTCCCGAACCGCCGTGGCCCACGGGCCCCCTGACGACGGGCGAGGGAGGGCCATGGAGGCAGGGCCGGGCCAGAAACACACCCTTCACGGAGCTGGCTTAATCCGGATCCGCCCACACAGTCGCCCCGCCCACGCCCGAGGAGCTCCCGGAAAGCTCCGGCCGGCCGGCCGCCGGCTGGGGACCGGAGTGAGGTGGGGAGCCTGCCTGGCAAAACGTCAACGAACCCCGAGTCCCTTACCTTACTGCGCCGGCTGCGGTGGCGACTCCGGAGGCCCGGGCCTAGGGAAAGGGACTCTCCCGACCCCGACGCCCGCTGGGAAATGTAGTTCTGTGCACGGATCCGGCTGCCCACTCCAACGTTCGGGAGCGTTTGTTAAGCTTTGCGTTTACTTCCTCCAAGGGCTTGGAACGCCGGCTGCACTCCAGGCGGCGCGGTGCACGCTGGGTATTGTAGTCTTGTTTCGGTTCGGAGGTTGACGGCTAGAACAGAGACGCACCGCGGAAATGGAAGTCTTTTACCTCATTGGACGCCGTCCCCGATACGCTTCTGCGCAGGCTGTGGTGGCGTCGTAACGCCTGGGGGAAAGGGAAGCGGCCGGGACCGCGAACCGCTGCCTCTGGCTTTTCGTTTTTCTGCTGACAGGATTTGGTCCCTGGTTCTTCATCTTTTGTCTGTTGCACGCATCCCGCCCTCCCCATTTGCTTTCCTACTCCTTGGATCCAGCCCTCTGGGCATTCACGCCAGTTCTCTCACCCCGCCGTGAGCCCCTCCTGGTCCCCGGGCGGGCCTGGCACGGAGGCGGTAACTATGGAGAATATGGCGGAGGAGGAGCTGCTACCCCAGGAGAAGGAGGAGGTGGAGGTGGCCCAGGTCCAGGTCCCGACCCCGGCCCCGGACTCGGCTCGGATCCCAGCTCCGGCCCCGGATTCGGCTCCGGCCTCAGCCCCGGCCCCGGCCCCGGACTCGGCTCCGACTCCGGCCTCGGCTCCAGCCCCAGCCCCTGCCCTGGCCCAGGCTCCGGCCCTGTCCCCGTCCCTAGCCTCTGCCCCTGACGAGGCTGAAAGCAGTAAGTGCAGGAGGCCCAGATCTTTCTGCCGCAGAAGCGAGCAAGTGCGCCTTGCTGGGGAGTAGGGGAGGCCCTTCACTGGGACGGTTTTTATGGGGAGAGGCAGGTCGAAGGAAACGGGAGGAGGAAGGAGGGACCCGTGTAGCGGGTAAAACGGGCACAGAATGGGAGAGGGCCTCTCCGCAAACCTGGAGGACATCTCGGTGAAGGATCTGTGCTGCAGGAGGAAGGAGATAATGAGGTCTAGGGCTGCTTCGTTAAAGGGGGTCTTTTTCTCGTACAAAGAGAAAGTTAGGCCTAATTTGGTAGTTTCCCTTTCAGTCCCGTCTGCCACGGTTCACGAAGCCCTTTAAAATGCGACATAGTTCACTGTGGTAGATCTTAGCTGCCAAGGTTTAGAAACTGTTGCTGTTAACTAGCTTTTACGGCTCGACATACACAGAGAGGGGTTTTTCTCATGATTTCATTTTCTTTAGCAACTTGCTTCCAAAAAGGATTTGAGGCCGATGGGCAGTTTAAGAAAGAGTCGACTAAATTTATGGATGTCTTCCCTCAGCCATAAGTACCAATTGAGTTTTGTACTGCATTCCATCAGAAGTCAACTGAAAATTAATAGCCCATATTATTGTGCTTCCAAATGTGCTTGCATGTTTTCTAAGTGGTGATCTATTGGACCGTAAAAGAATTTAAAAGATCGATGAGTAACACTTTCTTAAGAATCTTCTGAACAGTTTAAGCTGTAAGATCTAAGAAATTTTTTTTAAATGATTTTATGGTCCATAAATTGACCCTTATACTCTTTCTGACTTATAACGATATATCCTAATTCACGGTCTTTCCTACTTCTAGGCCAGTGTGAGTTTAATGTTTATAAAACATTTGAATAGTTATAGACTAATAGAATTATTCTGGAATTTTAAAACAACATAGAAATTGTCGTAGTAGCTATAAAAGTAGGGCTGATCACAGAAAAGATGAAGTCAGCTTGCCTCAGGTAGGCCCCTCCTCATCCTGTAAGATCAGAGCTGGCAGGTGCAAAATAAGGCCAGTTGTTTCTTCCCCCACAACTACAGTGGGGGATAAGGAGGTATGCTCTCCTGAGGAGGTTCCTAGTCACCCCTGGAGGGCATGTTAATACTAATCAGAAGTGGTTCAGCAGCTTTAGAGAAGACATGCTTTCTTCACCTCCCCACCATCAAAAATATGTTAAACATAGTTTGGGAAGATTTATTCGTATACTCCAAAATTTACAAGTATCTAATTTGAGGAATGTGCACTGTTTGAGAAACCTGAAAATGCGTTACTGGGACAAATATATAATGGTTGAGGAATCTGAAATGCATTAGAAATATATACTAATCACATTTAAAAAATTACTTTTAGGTGGTCTGGTTAGTCCTTTGAAATCAGTCTTAAGTAGGCAAGAGGAAGATGGCATATCTGAAATAGAATTGAAAATTGAGGAAAAAGTAACAGAAGAAGTGAAAGAACCTCCTAGCATCTTGTACTCATCTGATTTGACAAGAGGTTTGCCTGTTGACTTCTGAATTATTAGTGTGTTACAGAAAGGTTGAGTGATTAAGTACAGATTGTGTGGTATCTACTATCTTGAACCAGAAAGTGATTTCAGAGATGTATATAGGCATATCATGAATCTTTAGATAGATCTTTTTTCTTTTCTTTTCTTTTCTTTTTTTTTTTTTTGCTGAGGAAGATTCACCCTGAGCAAACATCCTTGCCAATCTTCCTCTATTTTTTGGTATGTGGGCCACCAGTGCAGCATGGTCGCTAGCAGAGCTGTGTAGGTTTGCACCCAGGAACTGAACCGGGGCGCTGAAGTGGAATGCACTGAGCTTAACCCCTCGACCACCGGGGTTGGCCCTAGACAGAGCTTTGAGAGTTTTCTTCTATAGTGGGCCACAGGATTTTCAGGTTTTCTCTTAACTTACCAGGCCCCTTTTTCTTACTTTGTACTACTTAGTAGTTAGAATGATTTCAATAAGCACATCTTTATTGGTACTATACATCTTGTTTCACGTACATAGATGCTTGAACTGTGGAAGCCAAAAGCCTTTATGATTACAAATTAAATAGCTTGGTTTGTACACACGGATTCATTGCCTGAATCTTACTGTCTGAACTAGCAATTTAAAATTTTTAGTCAAATGGGGAAAAATTTTGCCTGTTTATAGAAACTATATCTCATTATAAATCATTTGAACAATACCTAGTATAAGAAGTTAACCATAACGTTTGTTGCTCTTTGTTTTTCTCATTTAAAAAAAGGTAAAAATTTGTCTTTTAATAAATTTGAGCAGGAATATCTGATAGTGCTGAACTGAGTTCCACAATTATTGACTCAGTGTGCTACTGCATCCAAAAAGACTAACGATTTTTAAAAATTATTTAACAAACCCTCGTGCCTGCTGTGTGCAAGTTCCTGCACTAGGCATTTAGCCATTACAGAGATGAATAAGGCGTAACCCCAGCCTTAGTGCTTATTTGTGGGGGACGCAAGTTACACAGAAGATAAACAAAGGAACTGGGAGTGAAGCTTGGAGAGGAATAGGCAGGCAGGTATCAGTGTCAAGAATAGAATTTAAAAGACTTAAGTTTCCAAATTATATAACCTAATTGTATAATGAATTTGAGAGAGCCCTATGGTTTATCCCATCATCTGTCTCACTGGGGATCTTTTCCTATCAGTTATTCTTATAGATTGAGGCTCCCACTTTGTAAATGTTCCTTTCCTTTGGGGTATATGTATTCAGGTCTCTCTGTTCTTAAAAAAAACGAAAAAGCAAGTTACAATCCCATCATCTCCTTTTGTGTGTCTGTGTGTGTGAGAGAGGGGAAGATTGGCCCTGAGCTAACATTTGTTGCCAATCTTCCTCCTTTTGCTTGAGGAAAGTTGTCACTGAGCTAACATCTGTGCGTCTTCCTCTATTTTATGTGGGATGCAACACAGCGTGGCTTGATGAGTGGTGCTAGGTCCACACCTGGGATCCAATCTTGTGAACCCCAGGCTGCCAAAGTGGAGTTCGTGAACTGAACCACTAGGCTGTTAGGACGGCACCCCCAATCCGTCTCCTTTTTTATACTGCCAGACTTCTTGAAAAAAATAATCTACGCTGATTTTCTGTAATTGGTTTCTCCTTCCAATTCCATTTGTACTCCCAAACTGAACCTTCTTTCTTAAAGATCACCAGAGACCTGCTAAATACTAAATATTGTAGTCTTCTTCATCTCTACAGCTATCTGTGATACTTAGTGTTGAGCATTTCTCTTTTATCGTCTCTTTTGGCTTCTGCATTATCTTGATTCTCCTTACCTTTATTTTTGAATCTTCCTTCCTGATTCTTTTTCTCAATGTCTCTTACAGATACCTACATCGCTCCATACCTCACTTCCAAATTTTGTCCATTTATATTAATCAGTAGTAGTGGGTTCAGCAGCATTGGGGAACGCATTCCCCCACACCCCTAATCAAGAATATATTGACTCTATTTTGGAAAGATTTACTGATATATTCCAAAATTTTACAAGTGTCTAATTTGAAGAATGTGTAGTGTTTGAGAAACCTGAAAATGCATTGGGTTTTGACTTATTTCTTCTCTTTTTCACAAGATTTTTTCGTTAGGCTTTCTTATTGATGCTCAGTTTCTTCTAACGTGTATTTGTGATTTATATCTAAGCAGAATTCCTCCTGAGGTCCAAAAACAGGTCAGCTGCCTACTGAACTTTAGTACATGAATACCAGTATACATCAAACATTATGTCAAAAACAAATTCCCTTTTCTCCTTTCTGCCAAGAGTATTTTTCTCTTCCTTCACTGGTTCATGGTACCATTATTCTCAACCATATAAACTCAAAATCTTAGAGTCATTTTTGATTTTACTCTTCACCCTTCTAACATGCTAAGTTCTTTGCTTCTTTTTTACCTTCTATTGTCCTATACCTTTTTATTACTAATTTCTCATCTCAATTGTTGATCCCTGGTACTATAGCCAGAGATACCCTTCTGAACCACATTCAAATAATATCATTCACTTCCTCAAAAACCTGCAAAGACTTAGCCACTGTCTGAAAAATAAAGTCCAAACTACCTTG